TGCAGGCATTAGTCACGTGTATGAAAGAGGAATGTGAAATTAAAGGTCTCCGTTTGAATGCTAATAAAACTAAGGTTCTGGTATTTGAAAGGGACGAAGAGAGAACGAAGTGTGAAATATGGGTAAATCAGGAATGTCTAGAACAGGTAAATGAAATTGTATACTTGGGGAGTGCTTTCAGCCGGGATGGAAGATGTGATTTAGATGTGGACACGCGTGTCGCTGCCGGGAACAAAGTCAATGGTGCCCTAACTGCGTTAGTCAAAAGGCAAGGCGTAGCGAAGAGTGCACGCCTTACAATACATAACGCAGTGTTGGTACCGTCTTTGTTATATGGCAGCAAAACCTGGGTATGCCAGAAGAAGCATAAAAGTAAGTTGAATGCAGTGGAGATGCGATCTCTTCGTAAAATATGCGGCGTTACCATGGCCGATCGAAAGCGGAACGAAGTGATTCGCAATATGGCAGGTTTGAAAGATGACCTTATCACAAAAATTAATAAGGGCGTGCTTCGATGGTTTGGGCACGTTGAGCGAATGAGTGAAGACCGAATGGTGAAGAAAATATATAGCACAAAAGTAAATATTAAAAGGTGTCGAGGTAGACCGAGACTAACTTTCGAAGACCATGTGAGCAAATTGCTCGAAGAGGGGAAGGTCAAGATTACTCGGATACCTAGACGTGCATGCATGAAGAAGATAATGAATCTGAAAGAAGCGAAAGAGGTATGTAAGGATCGTGACACTTGGCGATCTGTTCTCTCTGGCTTGTGCCTTGGGATTGTGCGTGAAGATAAGGAAGTAAGTAAGAAAATAGTAGAGTTCCATTGAAACGCATGATATTAGAAAAATTCATAAGGACGAAGCTGCGGGCGGAAGTTTATTAATTAATATTATTTATTCATGTACTTTTTTTGTCAATAAACGAATAAACGATAGAACAGGTTCAATATAAAAAAAAAAACTTTAACCATAAACTCAGACTATCATCCTGAACAAAATCTAAAATAATTTAAGTTCAAAAATGAAAAAAAAAATTCAAAATGTCACGTGACCAATTTTGTATGGGAAGTCAATTTTTTTTTAATTTCCACATAGGAATTCCTTCAGTACCTTGCTCAGGATGATGGTCATGATGAGTTCATGGTTAAAGTTTTCGGGAGGCTGTCTTTACATCCCTTATAGTGTAACATTAGGAAATAATAAAACTAAAATAATAATCGTTTTATTTACTTTTATTATTACAATAGCAATAGTGTCTACAAATTTAAAATATACAACAATAATAATTAGAGGTGAAGGTTTTTACAACAACACAATTATACATGATTGAATAGTTTTGTGAAGTTTTTGTCGCTTGGTACGAACAGCACTCAACTTTTGGTCCATAAAATCTTTTAGATGCGTTCTGAGACGCATGGTCAAAAAAGAGTTTGAAATTCACAGCAACCACTTACCATCAGGTGGACTGTGTGCTCGTTTGTCACCCTATCCTATAGAAAAAATATTTTTAAATTCTGGATTAATGAAATTCAGAGCAATTAATACTGTCATCCATAGGCTGATGCAGTTCACCTGATGGTAAGTGATTGCTGCGGCCCATAGACATCTGCATCTATCCTCTATTACAAATCAAAATGCAGATGTGTTGTCACCCGTGAGAACTAAGATGGAATGCCTCGTTTCCAGTAAAAAGGGTCTCCGGTTCTCTACTCACCATACGAAACACAACAGCGTTAGGCTGCTATTTTACGCTGGTATTCTGTTGAAAGTGTGGTCTTTTCTCGGTCGAGCTGTATCTATTCCCATTCGTGCTAGAACTATACTACTAATATAGCTGCAGCATGGCTCTATCACGTATAAAATACACTATATATTTATAAATAAAACATCGGTCGCAACTGTGGTGTGAAGTGTTGAATAATAATATTGATTAATACATTTTTAATATTAGGTTGACTCAGACTATTCATATTTGATGCCCTTTTAAATATTTTATCCGCAAAAAGGACAATTTTGTACACCTCTGCGGATGGAATAAGCAATTTACCTCTATTTACAAATATTGTAGATATTGATATTTATTTACATTCAAAACGTATAAATGATCGGTTTGTAAATGATCTGCAGCAATTAGCAAATTTTTACAATCGATACATTTCAGCTGTTTGACAATATTTTTATTATATAACCGGTAATATAATAAATAATAGTTTTTTGATAATCCGTATGGGTGTTTTGTGATTCCAAAGCCTGCAAGTGGTTTTCGATTTCATCATTAGTATCTGTATCATCAGTATTTGAGATCGGATTCGGATCGGAAAGCCCTACAATGCAATTAAAGAAGGCCAAAGACCGTCTTAAGATCTCAACGTTTGGCAAAGTTGCATATTGTATAATAAACTCGTACGCTTTTGACGACTAAAAATGTAATGTTAAAACGAAGGATTTTCACTTCATCGCTATACCTCACACCTTGTGGTTTATTAGATTTTTTTAAATTCTTTACATATATTGGCAAAATTTCCTAAAATAATATTTTCTATGTCACTATTCTCTGCATATGATTTTACAATTTTTGGAACGAGGTTCTTTATACGGTACGGATTTGGATGCTAGGCGACAAAAAGTGTAAGATTTTTCCGTCACGACCCTACTGACGTAGGTTAGACGGTCTTGACGGCTATAAGGAAACGAAATGGAATAATATCCATCTCCGTCGCACTTTTTCTTATCTTGCCATGAAAGAAATTTTATTTTAAATGACGAGTCATTTTAATAGACGCTAGTAATTAATTTATTGGTATTTGTTAATCAATAATATAATACGTTAATCAATAATAATATACTACTGAAGGAATTTCGTTCTAACGGAGTGTTCCACGACAATCACGCATGTTTTATTTTATTAAAGATTTCAAATTAGTAACAGTTTTGTTGAGGCGAAATACTTTTGAACTAAAGATTTGTTTCTTATCTTTAGCTTTGACATGACGCGCAGTATTTGCATGGTATTTTGTACTTAAGAATGAAATATAATATTACATTCTGGATGCCACACACTTTTGCAACCGCGCACAATAAATTTAATGACCATTTTACTAATTTTGCCTTTGCATTATTCCAAAATTCAAAAACAAACTTGCGAAATGAACGTAAACATCCGCCTTGTACAGTAAAAATTATGTGACAAATAGATTTTGGGTTGTCATATAACAGCTTTTAAGAATAAATCTAAAATAGGGGAAATATGTAGGAAGCTAGTCAAATAGTTCGTCGTAAATCTTTATTAAGTGTTTAAAAGAAAAAGCAAACTCTTAAGTGAAACTCGTTTTTGTCAAGTTTTGTTATCATTTTTTACTTAAAATTCTTGCCATACTGAGAGTTTAACTTATACTGAAATTCATGATCGCTGTCAATGGGGTAATATCAGTCGTCACGTTGGCTATCCTGTAGGGAAAACAGGGGTTACTCAAGGTCATTTGATTATTCCTAATGTTGATATCAGGAGTGTGGGTTTCAGTTTGTCTATACTTCCGTGAGTAGGACACAATTTTTGTTTCGAATGGCTTCTCTAGTACGTAGTACATATAACTCAATGGATTTAAATAATACAACAGACTTTGGCATATTATGTCAATTTTAGTTCCCGGTACGGACAATGATGGCGCTTCAAATCGGCATAAGCATTTTGTATGGCAAAGCCAGTCCAACGTACTTGTATATATAGAGGTCAGTGTATTATACTATTTGGTTGACAGCCAACTAAATGAAGTTAAGAGGCGAACGTCCCATCAATATTGCTACAAATATATTCTATTATCCCTAATATATTAAAAAATATTGCCATGTCAGATAATTTTGTTGCTACAATTTATTTTGCATAATTTTGGTAACTGGCCAATGTTAGGATTAAAAAGCAAAGTTGGCAGATTATACGATAATGTTAAGGTGGAAGCTCCAGGGCGGCCCACGAAATTCAAATTTTCTTGCGTTTTTTTGGAATTTGCAGGTCAGGGTTAGGTTGTATATTTAACAAAATATGATTCGCGACCGTAGCGATTATGTGTTTACAGAATTATTATCATTAAAATCACCAATACAACCCTGTAAGTTCATATTAGCCCTTTGAATGAGTTTTTCTGGAAAAACTCTAGGGCTAATATGAACTTACATTGTATATTGTAGATATGACTTTCAATAAGAATTACACATGTGATCTATATTGAATAAAAATTATTCCATTCTATTCTATTCTATCATCCCGTGAGTGTCGTAAGAGGCTACAGAGGGAAACTGAAACAGGAGATGCTGCAACATCTTCCTGATAACAACTCGAAATAATAAAAACTGATATTGCCAACCCTCCAAATATCCCGCCAATGAGGGGGAATATACGAGGGGAAGTCCAGCGCTAAACATAGGCCATGATTAGCGCTGGACTATTTATAGGCCGTAATTAATTAATATAATTAATAAAATTTATTACCTAGAAATTTGTTAGTTACAATTACAATAAACGCGTTTATATCTATTAACGCATGTAGATTATACACTAAGTAATCTTGATCAAAAGTCAGGCTTAGTAGGTATCAAATTTAGGGAGGTGTCAAGGTCAATCTGATTTTCATGTAAAGTAAAACACAATTTTTTTTTTCTTTAATTATTTAACTTATATATGAAAATCAGGTGGATTTACGAATAATTATTCTGCTTTAACGTTCGAACACCAATTCTTGTATGAGTATATATTAACATTTATAACGTGTTTAACACTTTCTTGGCCATTTATAGTAAAGTAGTTTTTAATTTTATTTTGCGTATACGTACTGGCAAAATAAGCATAGCTAATATCGTTCAAAGAGTATACTACATTTCCGTAAAGAAGATTAAAAAGATTTTTTCTTGACATTCATAAAATGTTTTAAAGCACCACGCAAGTGTATAACAATATTTTTTTATTATCTTACTGATAGAATATATACCTGATATCCGATAGATATGGCTGACGAAATGGCTCCGGCTTCTGGAGGAACGTCAAACGTTGCCGAAAACGAAATGGCAGTCTCTGAATTGGGTGAAGGTAGGCAAAAGTAAAATTCATATTCTAGTTTTTACTCATACATTACTATAGATTTTCCTTAATGACATATTCTCATCAGCGAAGCCGAGTTTGGGAGCGCTGGGTTATCCACCATACCCTCCGTACGCCACGGACACTGCACCTCCCTCTGTGGCTGAGACCATTATCGCTGGTCGGGATCTACGTCGGCAGTATAAATTTTCACCTCAGATGCCTGCGCGTCCCCCGCCTAAGCCAGCTAAACCCAGGTTTATTACAATTATTTTTATGTTAGCACTTTTTTGCTGTTGTTTTGAGATTCTGTTATTATTAATCGGTACGAAAACGATGTTTCGTACAGCATACGCGCCTTTTGATTAGTGGGTAAAGGTGTCGACAGAATTATAATTTGGGAGATAGGTCATCTGTTTATATACATTAAACTATTAACTAGTAAAATATAGCTTATAACAACGCATCCTTACAATAATCATAGGTGGGTGTAGAAAATTAGACAGGGGGCGTCCCACATAAGCGCGGTCTCAACTCTATGACATGCCTACTCCAACGGTTACTTCTGCGACAGATGTGACCAACCTGTGCAGCAGTAGAATAAGTTGGTGATTTTAGTTCTACGACGAATTTCTTCAATACGAATCTTATCGAACTTAGAAATTCCAAGCATAGCTCTTTCCATGGCACGATGATCGACTTTGTGCTTGTGGACTTTGTGCTTTGTGTTTGTAGATGATCGACCTTGTGCCGCCATCTTGGATTTACATTTCGACAGCACTATCGGCTTCAACATCCTCCAAAACCATGAAAATGACACCCATGATGAAAAAATTTATACCTATTGCAGCCGCCATCTTGGATTTACATTTCGACAGCACTATCGGCTTCAACACCCTCGAAAACCATGAAAATGACACCCAAGTACCATTGATGCTCATGTTTCAGTACCATATGTGCTTGGAACTTTGCAACTGCTGCAACTACTGAAACCTGCCTAACGGCTTCTCTCTCGGAGTTGTTTCTACCTAACTACACTCTCTGCCCGATGTAGATTGATTTTGGATAGACTCTTCAGTCTATCCAAAATCAATCAATACCGACGATAATCGTATCTGGGATGAAATGGTCAATAAACATGACTTTCGACTTGTATACATTGATACACAGTCTAAAGTATTTGGAGGATTAATTCGGGCATATCTTTGAGTTCTGCAGCGATTCTTCCATAACAACGATGTTATCGGCAAAGCGCATATGCGTGAAATATGTTCACTGTTTACATAAATGTCGCATAAACGGAGGAAGATTTGCACAAAGTAGCTGGCAGCAACTGGATGCGTGAAGCCGAAGCTCAGGATAGGTAGCTCACCTTGGGAGAGGCCTATGACCAGCAGGGGACTGCCAAAAGGTGATGATGATGTTGATAGTATTGTCAGTACTCAGGAGAAGTAAGCGAGTGATGCGTTTTAAAATTAATTCCTTAATGAATAATTTGATTTTTATTCCTAAGCTACCCCGTGGCCACCCATTGAGTTGAATACATCAAGTGTATGCGAGACAATCAAGATTGGGTGTTTAATTTTTTATTGAACTTTCATTTAGTATCTTATAACGTTTCAAGACTCTAGATAGGGAATCGGTCAACGATGGAAAACGTGAGGCTAAACTACACTGTGGCTAAGGCTAAACTGTCTGTGCATGCTACACTGAATTCACTGACTAATCATTTTGGATGCGTCTTTATTCACAAAATTTATTCAATAATAAGAAAATTGCGACTTCATTTTTAATGCTTATAGTATAAATTATTTAGTTTCATGTTAGGTAATAGAATGATAATGAAATGTTTTTTGATTATTCAAGGGGTCCTAAGGCTACGGATGTAAAAATGACAAAGCGCGCGTCCAAGGCTCATTCCAGATGCATGCGTCGACATGGTGCCATGCTCACCGACCGTCTTGAGTACATGGCGAAGCCTCGGCGTCGAAACATTATATACCTTTGGAGGGAGCACGCAAACATTTTACCTCCAGAGACGGTATTCTTCAGATTTTGTAGTTTGTAAATGTTCTTGTTAGCATTAATTAATTTCTTATCATTATAATGTTTTTAGATTGCTCGTTTACGATCTATGCTAGATGCTGATGAACCATTTAAGCCGGATCAAGCGTACGAATACTTTGTGAATTTACGAAAGACCAAAAAGAAAAGAAACAAGTACGTAAATGATTTTTACATAATATCTTAATGTAAATTCTTCAAACTATCACTTTAATTTTACTGCATGCAGGAAAGGTATCCATCAAATTAAAAAAGACATGATGGCAATTTGCGATGATAAACGATTTTTATGGGCTCGGAACGCAACGGTAGCATTTGCCAGAGGTATTCAGCAACGTCTCTCGAAGCCAGGACACTATACTCTTGCTGATGGGTGCGTTTTAGTTTTCGAAAATTATTTTGTATCAGTACATTTAATAAGATTTCTACTAATTTATTTTAAATCTTAACAGGATGCTCCGTTTGTCAGATTTGATATTACATGATATTTGTCGATATATGCGTCTGAAGACCCCAACTCGAAATAGTACAAATCCCAAATCACGTTTTATGCTGGAAATGTCTGATAAGGTAACTGAAAATTAAAGGAAATATCAAATTGTTGCATTTGGGTTTTGTTTATCTCGTTTACTTGAAAATCATAAGACTTAAAGATTGTTAAATTCCACTCAAAAGAATAAAAAAATAACTGTCAATAAAACGTAAAATTAAAAAAATTATTAATAATTTTACATTCGTCGGGGCTATAATTCTTCTCCTACTACGTCTTAGAACCGACTTCAGAAAGTGAAATTGTTTTATTATTTTTAGTTGTTTGAAGTCCGCTTTTACTATCCATGAAAAGCGTTTTAAACGATTTTACTACTATTATGCATTATAACATTTCTTATATTATAACCATTATAATTTTTTTGTTTTATAATAATATGAAAAAAATGACGTGTGTGAATTTTTATAAAAATTCTCGTATTCTTTTTATGATATGAGTAATAATAAAAATAGATTACTATATAACGTTAAAATGTAAATGGCAAACGAACTTAAAACTTACATGTTTGATAAACAGATTGCCATTTGGATTGATGAAATAATTTCGGAATCTGATGATCGAATGCTAATGATGGACTTTGACGAAGACGAAGGTAAGATTTTTTTAAAGTTATTTAATAAAAAAAGATCAGTACGACAACTACGAGTAGGTAATAGATTGGTAAAAAACAGGTAGGTGATAGACAGCCCATATTATCTAGTAGATCAAGTAAATAAATGTTTAAAATGAATAGGTTTTGGATTTACCGGAGAAATTCAATTTATAGGCGAACATTTTTTTTTTATTTCTGCAAAGAAGCACGGATCTCATGTAAGTATTTTTTGTTTGAGAAGAAGTCGAGAGGAGCTTTGCTGATGATAATAAACCAGATATAAAATCTGAAGCTCCGACGGGAGGAACAGCGTCGTCGGGAATTAGTCCTAATCCCGAGCGTGTTGCAAGTCCAGTCTCATCGTCGGGTGGAACGCCGGAAGCAAATACTTCGGCTACTACCACCCCCACGCCATCTGCCCTACCTACCCCAAAATCGTCTAAGGGTGACTTAAAAAAATAGTAATGGTACGTTTTCTAACATGTTTTAGATCAAAATCTTTGTTTTAAGAACTTGGCGTAGTGAGAGTACAATAATTTTCTGCTATATAAAGACACCACAATGCATTAAAAACCGTGGTCAACCCTATGTATATAGGTCAGAGCCTCCAATTTTTTTAAATATTTTATTATTTATGTTATATTCCTTTATTTCTTATAATTACTAGTCTTTATATTTCTTTAAATTTATTTGTTTGCGGGTAAAAGACTGAACAGAAAGGTAAACCGATTATTTTTCATTAGATTTAAGGACAGCGCACATCTAATCGGTGTGCAGCACGTCCGCGTCACGTGTACTTTGCGGTAGCAGTTGTAACAATTGAAAGACGTCGTACCGTTACATGTAAAGTTATTGTGATAGCAGCCAGTGCGATGTCTTCCATTAGTTGGTATTCTATATTAGTGTTAGGACTGGCAAGGCTGTAATTAAGTTGTGGGCAAATCAATTACGGTGTACAATTTTATAATGTGGTTTTTCTAACCTTTACAGTAAAGTCCATCATTGTTTCATTGCTGAATATAGATTTACTCCAAAACCTTTCCTAAGCCCCTTACAAGTTATATGGGTAACCCATTGCTACTTTCGCTTACTAACCCTATGCAGGCTTGGGTACTTGTAAAGTATAATATGAACAATGTCTTAACGCATGACACTGATAAATTTCTTTTGTAGACGTAGTAGCAGATGATGCGGGAGATGCTGGTTTTGCTGATGACTTTCTGAACATGATGCAAGGTGTAAGTGATAACAAGAATTCCAAGATAGCCGTTGTGTTCATCTATAAGACAATTTTTACTAAGGGACTAGCATACAATGACACTTTAAATATAGACTTTAAACTCATTATAAAACATAAACCATTCTCAACTGCTCCTACTTGACGGTGGTGCTTTATTAAATTATGAATCTATGAATGGGCATTTTTATGATGCTTTTTAAATTTACTGTATAAAACAAAACGTTCAGAATGTTATAGAAACACAAATAAAAAAAAGAAAAGTTTTCACTTTTGTATTTTATTTTCCTATCCTTCAGTTGAAATATCTGAACACTACTGATAGAGGTGACGAACTGTTTACAGTGTTTTGATGTTATTTAATGTAATGCTAATATATTCTTCAGTTTTCATTAAAACATTTTCTTCATTCGTGTTCATTTATTTCGAACTGTGAATAATGGTTACAATAAACAAACCATAACAGTAATGTTTTCTAACCTTTCATTAAATCTTTCATACATCCTAATACCATTTTTGTTTTCAGGGTGGCCTTTCTAAATTGGGTAAGTAAATTTACGCATCACTTACAACATTCGAACACCAAGATTAATAATTATTACTTTTACAGCTCAGCCAGCATATAAGAAATTTACCGGTAAGTTAATATTCTGTTTTATTTATAATTTTATATTTAGGGTTGATTTTTCAATCATTGAATAAAAGTTATTCATAATATGAAATATAAATTATGAATTAAAATAGTTTGTCCCATAGACACATACACTGAGTCGGGTTTTAATATATTTTACGAATAGTTTTATCTGACGATTGAACAATCTAGCCTTGAAAAGCGACTTAAATTTAATCGATCTTGCCTCAATCTAGGTGATATACTGGAAGCTTTTACTATCTTAACCAATGCTATGTACAAGAAAGGTGAGCAAACATTGACAGAGTATGGAAAATTTCGCCAAACATATGCACAAGCGGCGGACACGTAAGAATTTTGTATGTTTTTATAGTAGTGCGTACGGGTGAGAAATGCCTACACTGTCTACCTGATGGTAGGTGGATGATGTGGTCTATAAACATCTGTAACTATCCTTGATTAAGATAATCAAAATGCAGATGCATTGCACTGAAATGTAATGCCTCGTTGCCACATAAAAGATTCTCCAGCATTATGCTGTACTTCTTTCAAGGTCAAACCGACCCATACGCTGTACTTGGATCTAATACGTAAAAACATTTAATAATAAAATGTATTCTTCATATACATAAATAATATATAGTCATTTACAGACTCAAGCAAACCCCTGACTTCGCTATTACGGAAATTAACAGTAGTTTAGCACAAAGAATTAACCAAGAACTTTCTGATACTGTAAGACCGTTCACGACCACTAATTTGGCACCTTCAATGAAGGGCAAGTATTTTATATTTTTTCATTAAGATCTGATATGAATATAATAGTTTATAAAAGTATAAAATTTTTGTTTTCAGATGTTGTGGATATGTGTTCTAATTATTTAGCACAACATGCTACTTTTAATAGTAAGTGTTAAGGCTCGTCAATAACCAATACAGAAATTTATTTATGATCTTAACTATACAAACTGAATTGCTCACAAAATATTCTATATAGCTTTTCTAATTTTATAATGGTAAAAACTTATAAAATTAAATAAGCTATTAGAAATAAAACCTTACACTGTCTACACCTCTGTGCTGTTGAATATGTTTTGTACTCGGATTTTGTACTTGGAATCAAAGTATTTCTCATAGTCCACATATACAAGGCGAAGCGCCAGATTGTATTCTACATAGTATGTCCTCTATAAAATTTTCCGAAGGGTGTATGAGGTTTATGGTAATAAAGCTTTTTCGGAAACCAGCTTGTTCAAGAGACTGAAAGTCGTCCATTCTGCGTGCAACACGATTCGTAAACTCTTTATCTCTTTCGCAACACTCTCTCTCTCACAACACTCTCGAAAACAGCAGGTAGACGTGGCTCAGAAGGGAAGTTGTAATTAATCAACAAAACGTCACCTTTTGTGAAGAGCAACACATCCGCAGTTCTACTCTCCGCATCTGGAATAGCGTAATAATGGAGGACGTGATGAAATAGTTTTTTCTCTCTTCGGATTCCAAATAAATCTATAATCCGTTCCGATATAGCCTTCCGATAGTCCACTGCTGAATATATGCCTCCCCCATAGATTGCCTCATATCAATCTACAATATCTCAGTGCAACTTGACTGTCATACTTTTCTTACAGTTCCTGCTGGCAACTTGTTACTTATGGAGGGATGTTTTCCATAGTTGCCATGCTTATCTATACAAATAAATAAAATTGAAGTGTCTGTTTGTAATGTCAAAATTACGGCTTTTTACTAAATGCATATGAAAGTATATAAGGTATTAATAACAAAAATACAATTTTTAAAGTTTTTGTCTGTCTGTCCGTCTGTCTGTCTGTTTGTTCCGGCTAATCTCCAAAACGGCTGGACCGATTTTGACGGGATTTTCACTGACAAATAGCTGATGTCACAAGGAGTAACTTAGGCTACCTTTATTTTAGAAAAAGAATTAGGGTTCCGCGCAAAAAAATTAAAACCCCAAATAACACGCGGGCGAAGTCGCGAGGAACAGCTAGTTATTCAATAAAACTAATTTTTCAAATTTTATCGTGTTAGTTAAACTCAATTTTTAATCAAACGCGATAAAAATCTGTTAGATTACTTTTATTTATTGATGTGGTATTCGCATATGTATATGAGAAATACTATTGAGATAAAGATAGAGAATAACCACTATTGAATAAAATTGTTGGCAAATTGGACTAGTAAGTTATTCTTACGTCCTATTGCTATTCGCAAATTCGTGCAAAAAAGTTATTTAATGATAATCGTTGTATATAAATGTTTTCAGAGGATAAAGGAACTGCCTTTAAATTATTAGTAACCACGATGCGTAAGCAACCAAACCAATTGCTTTATGAAAAAGGAAAGTTTAAAGCAAATTACGGAGCAGCTGCCGCAGAGTAATATATTACATTTTTCTTAAGTTTTCGTATTACCGTGAATGTTCGAAAGTTTTCAACAAGTTTGTCAATATTATAGACTAAGTCAAGCACGAAGCTTGGAAAGCGACCATGACGATTCGGATCTAACACAAGAAATCCATTCAAAGCTTTCTAAGTTAGTTGATAGTGCAACAAGTCCTGAGTTGAAATCAGATATGGCCGGTGGGTAAAAATCATATTTAAATATACTATATAAGTTTTTCATAATCAGAATTTCATAATAATTTCAAGTTTTGTTTGTTTCAAATGCACAGAAACCCTTGACGTCTGTTCTAAATATCTATCTCAAAGCGCTGTCGATAAATGTAAGTAAACTTTTAATTTATCAAAAAAGAACAAACATGCGTGAGTGTCGTGGTACACTCGGTTGGAACGAAGTTCCTTCTTGTAGTATATTAATATTGATAAACATATTATGTTATTGATTAACAAGTACAAATTAATGAATTACTAGCGTTTATTAAAATGAAGCATCATTTAAAATAATATTTCTTTCACGACAAGATAAGAAAAAGTGTGAGGGAGATGGATATTATTCCATCTAGCTTCCTTATAGGCCGTCTACACTATGTCAGAAGAGGTCGTGACGGAAAAATCTTACACTTTTTCTCGCCTATCCCCCATCCGCCAAATTCGTACCGTCTAATAAGGAACGTTTCAAAAATATTTTCGAAATGTTTTGTTTACCAAAGTTTTTTTTTACAGCGGAACGTGGACCTGCTTTCGACATTCTCATCAAAGCCCTCGATGACAATGGTGAAAAACCATTTACAACACAATTCCCTGTTGTTGGAACTAATTATGCTGCTGCACATGTGTTAGTGCTTACATCTTTATTCTAATTGTTACGAATATTATTTAGGTTATTCCTTTCAGGTGCATTGCCCTCGTAGAAACACTGCTTAAAGTGTTCAAGATATCGATACTTTAAAAGAGAAACAATGATTTACTTTTTCTTATATTTTTAGGAACTAAACATAATAATCCAAACATTTTTAAAGGTAAAAATTTGTCAAAAAGATTTCAGATGAAACGGGTTCAGTTTTATGGCTTGAATGTATGGGCTGTAATGATAATATTGAAGTACAAATGTATTCGATCATGGTTCATGAAATCAACAATATAATTAAATTATTATAAATTCCAAAATTTGTTAAAATGGTTGAAAAATTGATTCGTTGATGCAGTGATTCTTTCTAAAGTAGTAGAATATGAGGTGTTCGCGCAAAACACTTTCAAGGATTGACGCGAGAGGGCGCTCGGCGCGGTGCATTCATACCGGTTTGACTTTCGGTCGTGCGAAAAACGCCCAAGGGCAGTCAGTCGTTCATAAGCGGTGCTAACGATTGGCACGCTGTATTCTGTTAGGGAACTCGGAATAATTCGGCGCGGCCAGTAAATATACGGTCTTTCATTGTGACGCGCATTCCTGCTGGAGAGCTTCCCAGGGACTCATTGTGTTTGACTCAGAGTCGGCATAAGTGCATTAGGCAATATTAGCTAGTGCGGCCTCACGATATTCTAGAACTAACTGTTGCGACGCGAAACGGTAGTGACCTTTAATAAACTGTAAACTCCGTGTGCGTTTTGTGTTAACCTTATAACCCGCGATAGTTAGTGGCTTCTGTAAGTTAGTAAATCGTACGATAGAGTTAATTGACTGTTATCGTGACGAACAAGGAAAGTGAATGTGGGCAACCTCGGACGGCCCCCTCAAGTTGGCGCGGTGTCGACGCTCGGGCTGCTGCCGACGGCCAAGGTCTGGGTTCAATCACCATCAGTCACACCCAGATACACATCACATCACTTATTTCCCTTTCACTACACAACCAAATGTGAACTGACCGACTCCGGAGGGACTAGTCGCCTTGGATATAGGTAAGTGAACTCCGCCTAATTCCTCTGCCGGTCGACTGGCCGTAGTATAGAACGCTCCCCCATACATTTTAGTGTAATTCGAGAGATTCCACGTGGCCACATTGAGGCCCGACCTACGTCTGTTCGGGAAGTCCTCAGCTCATGGGCCCCTGAGGATTGGATCCTTTAAGGGAGCAGCCGTAGGCCGTAACATGAGGGATTCCTTTTTTTACTATAAATTGCATATTACATTGGTAAATAAAATCCTTCATTGACAAATGACTTGAAGGTTACTAGTTGAGCATATATAGTTTTATTTTCCATGATATCTACTTAGTTTTGTATAGTCACTAATATTCGGCATTGAAATAATTTAATTTGATTGGAAAAGGGTATAGTACAAATTTTCCAGTATCTAAAATTGCTTTATTTTAAAGGTTAAGTACAGCACCGGGCTTGACTAGTGTGAAACCTAATGAAGAAACAGTGCCTGTGTTCGAAGAAGCCCTCCACAAAGCTGTCGATTTAGTTACACCAGAAAGCCAAAAGAAAGAAATGGATGGTATGTCTTTAGTCTGCACTGAATTCCGAGATGTAAATAAGTACTGTACTTGTAATTTACTGCTGTAGCTTTTTATATTAATGCAGACACTTCTAGCTTCTAATATTTCCAGCGTAGTTGATAATACTTTTAATTATAAGTTTCTTTATTGGACTCAAATAAAAATAATATACAGGTTCCGATTGCGCCCTAGCTACTGAATTAGACTAGTTCATAGGTGATAAGGTCATAAGGGAATCATTAGTATTATAATCATTGTTTTATTTAATTTCATTTATTTTTAGTTTTGTCACTCAAATTGTCTGTTAAATAAGTTTAATTCGCGATGGAAACACTGCATATGGATGATGCTTTTTTTATAAATTCTAAGGGACATCTATAATACTTTGCAGTATGCTCACGCGGCAGCTTTTACTGTCGTACGGATGGGTCGGCTCGATCCCGGGTGATAAAAAGTTACGACCACCCCTGGCGACGGAAAATCCCAGCTGAGCATCAATATATGCAACATCAGGGGACTTCATTCAAACCTTAACGCTCTCCACTACCATCTGGAGACGGCGAAGCCGGCCTTGCTCTTTTTAACCGAGATTCAGGTGTCCTCTACGACCTGATACTTCATATGTCTCCTACCCACGGTACAAATTAGAGCACTCCTTTGTGCCCAGGGCTGGAGTTTGAGTATACGTCAGAGAGAATATCTGGTTTCGATGCCTCGGTAGTCTTGAAGGTACGGACCTGTCCATCCTATGGTTGCGCGTAGACAGTGACGACCATCTCCGCATCTACGGGTGCCTCTATAAGTGGTAATGTCGAAACAGACCGTCGTCCAAATGGCTACAGATTCCTTGCTACAGCAGATCCCATCCACAGAGATCGTGATCCTTGGCGACGCCCACCACTCCTAATGGCTTAGTTCACGTTTAACCGATCATGCGGGAAGATCTGTTTATGACTTTGCCTAGAGATATGGTCTTACACAGTTGGTTATTTCACCTACGCGGATTCCAGACGTGGAGGATCACGCACCTTCCCTGTTTGACCTTCTGCTGACCTCTTATTCGGATGGATATTAGGTTTCCGTCAACGCCCCTCTTGGCTCGAACCATTGTCTTGTCCGAATTGTCACGCTAACTTCGTGGTTGCATACTGCAGGTTGTCGCCTAGTTTGGCACTTTAGGTCGATTGGGATAGGATGCGGTCTTTTTTTGGGTATATTTCCTTCTCGTCGTGCGATCCCAGCGTTGTTCCTGATTCTGTTGCTTATGTTATACTTGAGGATATGGAACTTTTTATTCCATCCTGTGGTGCCCATCCGAGGCAGATTCTAGCTAACTTTGGTCGATCCTGTAAAATAGCATCTCTTTATAAGTAGGAGTGCTACCGAGCCTGGGCTGACGCATCAACGTCTCGTAATGTAAACACCAGCGCTCTTAAAAAGAAATATAATTCCACATCTAAAAGAGTCATTGCCAAGGCAAGGTCAGAGCACATCGGCAGAATTGACGAGAAGCTAGTTCGTCTTACTTGGGGAACCCGTGCATTCTGGTCTCTTGTCAAGGCTGTCCAAAGGAACTTCTGTCAGCCATCTCTTCCATCTCTGCATAGAGAGGACGATTCACTGGACCATGCCGCAAAAGAAAAATGCCGATCTGTTACGGTGCGTACACATTGTATAACATAACATGTTATAAAACCTATTGTTATATAACATGTTTCAGTAATGTGGAGACTGAATGTTATGGAACGTGTTATATAACACGACACATATGTTATAAAACTCGAACGGCAGAACGACAAACGACAATGTCAGATAACATTGTTATATTGCAAGTTATTCTAATGTGTACAGTATTCTTATATATTGCAATGTTGAAAAACAATGTTACATAATGTGTACGTGTTATAAAACAAAAGTTATACAACATGTTACTTAATCTGTACGCACCCTTAGGTTTCTTTGCGGCCAATTGGACTCTTGATGATGGGGGGAACACACCGCCGATCATCTCGCGGTGTGAGTGCTTCATGCTGGATGTGCGGTTTACAAAGCGCTTGGTTCGCAAAGCACTCCTCTCCCTGGACGACAACAAGTCGTGTGGGCCTGATGGAGTCCCTTCCATTGTGCTGAAGACGACGTGTGCTCCGGAGTTGGCACCGACTTTAACGCGTCTTTGTCGGTGCTCCTACTCCCAAGGCGTAGTCCCGAATACATGGAAGACTTTGGCTTTGGTCCACCCGATCCCTAAAAAAGGCGATCGCTCAGATCCGTCCAACTACAGGCCTATTGCCAGCACCTCCTTGTTCTCCAAAATAATATAGTCCATTATAATCTGCTAGCTCATGAGCTACCTTGAGGATCACCAGCTGATTATTGATACGGTTCAGGTGGTGATCTTCTGGTCTACGTGACTAATAGATAGCCGTAGGCGGTCGAGTCCAAGGGCAAGGCATTGGCTGTTAGTTTGGACAAAGCGAAGGCCTGTGATCGGGTCTGGTACAAAGCACTTCTTTCGAAGCTCTCGTTCTATGAGCTTCCAGAGAAAATGTTCAAATGTGTTAACATTTTCCTTGCTGATAGGAGCATCAAGGTCATAGTAGATGCTGCATGCTCCGACTACAAGCCTATTAATGCTGGTGTTCCACAAGGCTGCGTGCTATCAGCAACGCTGTTTCTTCTGCATATCAATGATATGCTGCAAACTGGTAACATTCATTACTATGCAGACGACAACACTGGCGATGCATTGAAATAAAACTAAATGTATATTAACCGCTAGAGTAAGCTTTGACGCTAGCTAGTGTGTTCATTTTCCATATCGGTAGTCACGCGCTCGCACCAATGAGCGCTCGGCAGCAATACGCAACTAATGATGTATATTCATCTTTTTCTAACGATAGGTATCACCCTATCATTTGTCTCTTTTTGTTAGCGCAACGTGTCATAATAAATAACTGTACATAGATATAAGTACTACCTGCGTTACTTTAAAATACACTAATGTTAGTGTGTAACCTGTCTATCTTTTTAATACGTCTTTGATCCAAATACGAAAATTAATTCAAATCGTTTGAGCCGTTTTCAAAAAACGTATTACCTACATTAGGAAATATGAAAATTCTGTTTTATATTGAGAAACTCAAACACCTTTTCTTTTAAGAAAAAAAATATTTATTTAATCAAATTCTTTACCCTTATTATCTATATTTTTGCCACCTCGAGAGTAGATCATTTATGCCTTCAGGGATCTACCGTTTTCTGAGAACAAAAGATTTTTTCCTTACATAAAATTGTCCAAACTGCGGAAAAAATCGTAATGATTTGGGCTGGATCTAGGTAGTATGGATGATGTCGTATTAGTTTGTCGAGCAATGTCTTGTGTGGGTTGTTTCTCTGAGAGTTCGTCATTATTGATCTCACAAAGGTATAGTAAATTATACCATGACGTTACCATCAAACAGTTACCATTAATTTTGTATAGGTGGGTTTTGCTTTAGGACATTAGTCTGGTATTTGACCTGGGTTCAGCCATTGCGTATTTTGCTAGAATCCACTTTTCATCATACGTCACACTTCTTTCCCATAAAACCCTCCATTTCACTACCTAATCACCAGAGTAAAGCAAGCTTCAGCGCGTGCTCCTTTATGCAAATCAGTTAATTCTTGAGGCATATTCTGGAGTATTTTACCAATTGCATATAATGTTGTAGATAAACTAACGTCAAACCATGACGCAAATTCCTTAATTTTTTTTTTCCTTAATTGTAATGTGGATCGGTTTCTACCTATCCCACCATACTTTTAAGTTCAACGTTATTTACCTTAGTTCTGGTCTTCTTCGTGGTTCATTTCTCAACTGGAAATGGAGTGGAATGTTTCACTACTAAACTAAACCAAAACGCACAGAGCGTTCGTCAGCGATATCCTCTTCAAACGCAACATTGATATTTCGAGCTGTTTTTTTGCTGGAAACTTACTCCAATTATTGATGTATCAATGTTCAACTCAAATTATAATAAATGTAAAAACAATTCGAAGTCAAACAAGACTAAACTTTCTATTAAATTTAAAAAAAATTATTACAATAACATTTTCGAGTTAAGAACTTTATAGTTTTTGTGTAAAAAAAAGTTTTAATCACTCCATTGTAACGCCAATTTTATACTTTAACCTATAAAATATACAAAAATTTCTCGCTTAATGTATAAGATGAATATTATTAATTTCATATATTTCAGATGTTATAAAAAGGTCTGCTAATTATTTATCCGGCTTTACAAGAGACAGAGGTAAAAACTATCAAATAATCGTGCAGATAATACAAATTGATTTCACTTTACTTACATATATTTGTAAATTTTAGGGAAAGCTTTTAAACTGTTGTTGCAAACAATGAAAAAATCTCCAACAAAAGAACTTGCGAAAAGAAATAATTACACAATGAGTTATGGGAGTGCAGCTGAGGAGTAAGATTTATTTTGAGAATTTTTTTGTTGGTCTCTTATGAAGAACGAAATAAAAGTTTAATCTTGATATTTATAGGACAGAATCTGCGCCGTTTCTAGCGCCCTTTTTGCCAGTAAAAGATATAGCTGATGAAATTAACGAAAAGCTTACTAAAGAAATGGAGGGTTCCACTCCGAGTGAGCTTAAAGTTCCAATGAAATGTACGCATTTATTTTCTTAACATTTATTTATATTGTGAATGTACCTTATTAATAATGCTTATCTGCCGACTTCCAAAAAGGAGCCGGTACTCAATTCGACTGTATGTTTTTTTTTTTCGTTTTTTTTTTTATGTGTGTTACCTCAGAACTTTTTTCTGGGTGAACCGATTTCGATGATTCTTTTTTTATTTGAAAGCTGGTACTTCTCGTGTGGTCCCATATGAATTTGATCAAGGTCAGACCAATAGTTTTTAAGTTATTCTTAAATAACTTATATTGAAGTCGGCTGTACAAAATTTTTAATTTTAAATTATTTTTTAGCTCTTATTCAAGACGTATCAAAACATTTGTCACAACCGGTAGCACTGAAAAGTAAGTTTAATATGCTCCTTACCTTTATTCGTCTTTATTTTTACTTACTTTGTTTCTTTTTAGAATGATAATGGTATGATCATGGTAATGGGTATGTGATCATTATCATCGTCATAATCATTATAGCACATCACAATTCCACTGCTGAACATAGGCCTCCCGCAAGGAATGCCACAAAATATGGTTATTTCTATACATCTATATACATATAAATTAAATTGATCGGTGTCTGTAAATTCGAAAAAACTGGCTTATATTTATAAAAAAATTGTCTGTCTGTCTATCTATCCAGACTAATCTTCGAAATGGTTAAACCAATTGTGATAAAACTTCACGAACATAGATTTTTTGCGACATTGAAAAACTGATGAATTAAATATTTTTGATGATTGTCTCATAAAATTTAAAAGTTCGAACTAAACTCTTTTGGTTTGAAATTTTATCCTACGAAGGTTCGACTCTTTATTTCGATCTCTTGAAGTATTGATGTAAGATCGTTTTTTGGCATTCTTTACTTTTTACAACACAATTTTACAATAAAAACTATGAAAGTAAAGGATCAGGTGATAAGACGCTTACGTGAAGTTAATAGATCTTGAATTATTATAATAAACATTTACCACATCGCATATAGCTTTTGGGATAATAGCACATTTTATTTGAATTGTTGACTACTTGTCCAAAAACCGCTATATAGCTTTGCAGTTTTTTGTTTAAGTTCTACGCGGACGAAGACGCGGAGAAAAGTTAGTAATAAATCTATACATATAATAAATCTGTAGAAAGGCCGTGTCTGTAATTGTAACATATTTTTGAAAAAACAAGTCCAGGGTACTAAATAAAGTGTGAAGCTAAATTAGTGGTTTTTAGAATTTTTGTCTGTCTGTCTGTCTGTCTGTGTATTACCGATTCACGCCAAAACTACTGGACCAATTTCCATAAAATTTTATATGTCGGTAGTTAGTACCCCGGGATAACTTATAGGCTACTTTTTATCCGATTACGAAACTTAAAAAAGAAGGTTAAATATTTTTCTTCCTTTAGATGTTAATTTTGTTATATATGATTATTTTAGTTAATAGGCGGGATGACGGGTGTTTTTTAAAGAAATATTATATTTGTAAATTAAGTTTAAAATTAGTTTTAACCTTTGCATAACAATTTGAAACTCCGCTGACGACATACGTTTTAATTATCAAAACAGCGCCATCTATCATCAAATGAAAAAAGCCTACATTTTGCCTTTCGTAACTAATAAATTATTTAATTACTTACATTTATATGTTAAAATAATTACATTAATAAAATTATTTTAAAAACCTAAGGATTAATTTAATCGTTATTTCATTTTAAAAGTGCAATAATTAAAATTTAAAAAATAATAGATAAAAGTGACATCTATTATCTAAAAACATCATGACATCATCTATCAAACGTATGAACATTTATATTATTTTGAACTAAAAAAACGTATCAATTTTCATATGTTTAATACTATATCTGTATGTAAACTGATTAAAACTGGTCTGCCGGCAATTATTGCAAAATTCTCATTAAACCATTATTTCGTGAAATGGTGTAATTTCATGATATTTATCACTGTTTGTTGACCATGTAGCCTAGCCGAACAAAGAATAGAGATCATTTAACGATATCAGTAACTAAACACAATATTACTATTTCATAATAATATCTTCATACCGTCAAATAGTTTTTCACCGCTAGCCGCGCTGATAGTGTGTTTTTAACGGAAACAGATTTTTAACAGAATCAAAAACACTTTATGTCTTTTTTATACAATAAATAAATGTTCCCGGCTTTGGGGTGACTCTTGAGCCTTCTTTCTTCCATAGCTGATATTACTAAATAGTATAGTTTTGACTTTCATAGTATTAATGTAATATAGCGCCCTCTACTTTCTCTAAATAAACTAATAAAAAGTAACTGATAAAATTAAATTTTAGAATGCTACTGAATACTTTGTCGTGCAGCATCAAAAATTGTCACACTTAAAAATATCTAGACCGGTGGTCATTATTTATTATTTACCACAATTACCACAATAACCACGTTTGGCAAAATGGCTAACAACACTGTTGTACACAAAACTGAGATTAGGAGAGAAGCTCTTTAGTTCAATATATTGTTTGTCTGTCGGCATAGGTTTCATTTTACCTACTTCATATGTTATCACGTTATCTGATGTAAATAATTGGATATTATGTGATTTTATCTCTTTTTGATGGAATAGTTCGTAGTATCGTTGGGTTTCTAATTACTCAGTAGATATGGTCAACAATGGTACAAAAGCTTTGTTTCAATTTTTATGAATTTTATTTAAACACAAATACGAGAGCCATATAGCTCGCCGTGAGATTTCATCACGGCAAGGGAGCAAAACGTGTATGAGTCCTTTGAGGACAAATGAATCTGTTATGGGAAATTTTACGTGCTGACTTACCACATACCCATTGAAGTGGTTAAGAATAACTTTGTGGGCAAACCTAAATATCGGAGTAGTAGTTGAAGGATTGCGGCATACTCTTTTCTGCTCACAAACACTATAGGTAATGGGAAGCCGTGTGCACAGTAGTGAGACGTATGTAAGCTGCTACTTTAGTTTTTATACCTTTAATGGGACTTATAAATCAGTTTGTTGGATTTTTGTATTTTTGAGTTTTCATATTATCAGACAAATCAAGATTCTTGTGACAGTAGTGGTTTCATAGCTCACATTAGATATGGAAATGAATTGGCTGTTGCGAAAAAATACCTTTAAATATCGAAGATAGCAGATTTTACTTAAACAAAGATTTATTTTATTTTACTTGTCAAAGGCAAAGGTAAATTTCATAGTACATAAGCATTATTATATATTTTTACAAATATGTTAAATGCAATTTGAAGTGTCGATTTACCACGTTCTCGGCGGTGAAAGAAAACCTGAATATCTGAGAAGTTCTCCAGCTGAGGTGATCCAGCGTTGGCACTTTTTGGCCAAAAGCTCTGTGACCTGTGCCCAGTAGTGACATGTATGTAGGTCGCTACTTTTTTAGTTTTAATGGGGCAATTATGTTGTTTTTATATCATTCATAGTTTCGGAGATGTTACGTTTTTGTTTTCACACTACCGTAAATATTAACGGTAGCAAAGATTCGAAAGAATAGAACTCTTCACCGTTATCATTACAACCTGTCACAAGTCCACTGAAATGAACACAGTTCTCCCCCATAACATGTCAAATAGGCTGGATATTTGCTTTAGCTGCCACGCTTGGCAGGCAGGTTGGCAACCGCAGCCTTTATTATTTTGAACTGTTGTCAGGAACATGATGTGGCTCATCTCCTATTTGTTTTCCTCTATCGCCTCTTAGGACACACACGGAACTATATGTGGTGGCGGATTCTCTTTCGGCGGCACAACAAGGCGAATATATTTCTGCTTTCGATCATGAGTGTAGTTCTACCTACGTTCACTGCGAATAGAACTTCATTTGCAATAAAAGTAATCATAAGGATTTTATCGTGTTTAATTTTAACTTTTATAATTGATGACGTTTCGGGCACTATACAGAACCCATGGAGAGGGGGCGGGGGTTCATTTGTTGTCTATCAGATCTGATATAATGGTTGGGACGATACTCAACATGTTGACATACTTTCAGACTTCTCGGAGCGTCGGTGCTTCACATCAGCAATACGTTGTTTTAGGCAATTTTTTATGGAACTTTCTTCCAAAGATGTGTTTTGTACAACCCGAAGAATAGAAGTTAAAATGTAACGTGATTTATTACAATTTGTTTTATTATACGTGTAGTATTCATCATTATCAGAACTGCATTTATAAAATTTTGAAGTCCACTCGAACATAGAAAAATAATCAGAATCTAATTTATGGTGCCAATCAATATTAAATGGAAACAATGATATGTATCAAATATCGCATAAAAGACCATGAATTCATCATTATTTTCATAAAAATAAATTATGAATGAATGTAAAGAGTAAATAATAGTAATAAATTTGGATTCCAAAACTATTTATCTTACTTATGGATAGATACATCGGAAGACAGGTTCAATATAAAAATAATTGTAGATATTTCTAGACATATGATATTAATGCAATTCTGAAAAACTTATTTCTGCACGTGTCCCTCAATAATCTAGGTCCAATAGTCTTTGGGAATTCAAAAAATTCTTTGAAAAACTGACATATACACAGACACCGACTTGACTCTAAAAGTGATCGAACTTTACTAAATTTGGCGTGGAATACATTTAATGATGTTTGTAAAAAAGAAGACCACGCGAGCGTAGCCGCGGGTAAAAAGCTAGTATGGAATATATTCGCAAGCATTTCTATTGCACTTAAGTAAAATTTAGATCTAGGATTTTTATATTAAACATTTTCCCATTTCGCACATAACTTTCGTGCTATGGTGTATAATATATAATCGCTAGTATTTTTGTATTGCAGATTATTATTTGATAGTTTCTGTTTGTCCTTATGATAAATAAATAAAATAAAAAAAATAAAAAAAATAAAATAAAAAATCCTTTATTCCCACTTTTAACAACTTTAACTGTGTGTGTGTGTGTGTGTGTGTGTATGTGTTTGTGTGTGCGTGCGTGTGTGTGTGTGTGTGTGTGTGTGTGTGTGTGTGTGTGTTTGCGCGTGTATGTGTGTATGTTTTTGTGTGGATATGCTAGTATTTGTGTGTTCGTTCAATATGTGGTTAACATCCTCTATTCAGGGATCATCCATTGTTGGATGAAGGCCTCCTCCATCTCGTGCCATTTGTCTCTATCTTTTGCAGTACGTGTCCACAGGTTTCCCGCTACTGCCTCTATATCGTCCTTCCATCTTCTAAGAGGTCGACCACGGTCTCTCTTACCATCACGAGGGAACCAATGTAAGATGCGCTCGCCCCACCTACCGTCATTGGATCTTATGACATGTCCCGCCCATTTCCATTTAAGCCTCGCTATCGTCGATAATTTCGATCTGTAATTTTTGTTTTCCTTCTAATTTTGATACTATTGATTCGATTTTGTAGTTTGATTTTTAACATACTTCTTTCTGTAGCTCTTTGAAATGATCTTATTTTTCTTTTTATTCCTGCATTGCAGACCCAAGTTTGACATCCGTAAGTAAGAGTTGGTAGTACGTTTGAGTCCATAATTTTCTTTTTTATTTGTAATGGGAGGTTTCCTTTGAATATTTCTTCTAACGACCAGTACTTTTTCCATGCCTATGCTATTCTCCTTTCTACTTCTTTTGTTGTCCTGTTCACGAAACAGATATTTTGACCTAAATGTATTTCTTCTCCTGGCTTTTCTAATTTCACTTTCGCTTTGCAGTTAGTATATATATTTTCTAGCAATTCTATGTATGTTGTTTGAATTCCTTGCTCGACCAAGGCTTCCCACAGTTTATTATGTTTCACGGAATCAAATGCCTTGCTATAATCTATAAATAGTATGTATATTGTTTTTTTTTAATTCTATAAATCTTTCTATTATCTGTGTAATTGTATTTATGTGATCGATAGTTAAGTTTTTCCTGAAACCGGCCTGTTCTTTAGCTTGGTTCTCTTCTATATTTCTAGATATTTTCTTTAAAAGTATGGATGTAAAAAGTTTGTATATGACCGAAAGCAAACTTATTGGTCTATAGTTACTTATACTTTTTGGATCTCCTTTTCAATACAGAAGAGTGATTACGCAGCTTTTCCATTTATCGGGGACTTTCCTCTGAAACAATACTTGGTTAAATAAGGCAGTTAATAAAGGAATAATCGAATCATCAAATGCTTTACGTCACATGTTATGCCATCTTCACCGGGGCTTTTATTTATCTTCATCTTGGAAATACCATTTCTTATTTCCGATTGTAGGAATGGGAGAACTTCCTCACTTTGATTTTGAGTAATTGTTTTATTTAGACTATTTTGTATATTGTATTTATGTTCTTAGTATAATTCTTTAAAAAAATCGGTTGCTATTTGTATCATATATCTTCTGGATGATACTATTTTGTTATTTTTTGCTTTTAAATTCATTATCCAATTTCTCGTATTATTAGTTTTATTGTAAGCTCTTTTACTAGACCCTGATAGCTCTAATTCTTCTTGTATGATCTTAAGCCTATGTTTTTTGTTTATCTTTAATTTTTTGTCTTATCTTTTTATGTAGTATTCTTAATCGTTTCCTTTGCTTAAATTTTCTGTTTGATTTTTTTTAGTTGTTCCCTTTCCTCTATAAGTTCCATAATATCTTGTTCTTTACTGATATCTACATGCTTCTTTTCAATTTTATATGAATTTGGTAGTTTTTTTACGCATTTTTCGATTGTGTTAATAATATTTTCATATGTAATATCTGCTGTTCCACCTATTACATTGTCTTCATCTCTTAGTGACGTTTTTAATGAGTCTTGTTCGATTGGCGTGAAGTTTTTTCTCTTGTCGAATTTTTTCCTACTTTGTTTGAAATTTCCATTTAGCTTTATAGTACACCTTACAGCCCTATGGTTAGATGAAAATGGTATGTTCAGTACTTCAGTATCGCTAACTATTTTTATATTTTTAGCTAATATGTAGTCAATTTCATTTCTTGTGTTTCCGTCGGGAGATTGCCAGGTCCATTTATTCTTTGTGTTCTTTCTAAATTTTGTGTTTGTTATTATCAATTTATTATCGTAGCAGAATTCTATTAATCGTTGTCCTCTACTGTTTCTACTCCCATATCCGAATTTTCCTGTCACTAGGTTTTCTTCTTCTCTTGGCAAACCAATCTTAGCGTTAAAATCACCTACGATAAAAGTATCCTTTTTGATGTCTTTCATTGCCTTTCTTAAGTCATTATAGGAGTTTTCTATTTCTGATTCTGGTGCTTTTTCTGTTGGTGCATATATTTGAATGAAGGTTATATAATTATTGTTAAAGTTCATGTCTAGACGGACTATTCTGTCTGTATAAAAACTAAAGTTTTCAATATATTTTTTCAAGTGATTTTGTATTAAGAAACTGACACCATTTCTTCCGCTTTGTTCGCCACAGTAGAGGAGTACAAAGTTTTCAAGTTCTTCTATCTGTTGACCGGCTTTTTTTTATCTCTGACAGTCCTATAACATCCCATTTTATATTTCTTAAACTGTGTTCTAGTTGTGGTAGTCTCGTGCTATCCACAAGCGATCTTACATTGTATGGAGGAGGTTTAGATTAATATATTTTTGAGTTTGAGATGGAGGGTTTTGGTCTAACTTCCTCACGGCGACCACCCGTATTGAGTATTTAAATGATTTAAGTTATTGTTACTATTTTCTTGAATGCTGTTGGAGGGTGCTTCGTAGAGACATACATCTTCGTTTCTGGTTATATAAGACGTTCATTGTGTTCTTATTGGCTTTGTACTTTTTATTTTTAGATTGTATCTTAACCTCGCAGCAGATGGCCCCACTTGGCTTGGAAATTATATTTTAGTAATTAATAACGATTTTTGTTAGGTTATGTTATTGATCAAATTTTATTCCACTGTTATCACTTTGTCCTGAGTTACACTTATTTATATTATTCTGTCTTTTATATAATATACATTTTAATTTGCACCGATCGAACACAAAATAACGCAATTAACTGTAAAATGTTTTTGCACATGCTATGTATTTATTCACTCTTTTTTAAGATTATCAGTCCAGATGTATCATTGTCCACAATATATCTTGGGAAACACTTTGATTACTATTCCTTTTTAACACTATTACTCTATTTCACACACTTTATCATTATTTATTTAATATAATGTACGAACTCGATCCACACCGTGGCACCGTAGCGCCCTCCACCGTCCTTATGATGGCTAAATTTAAATATTTCGTTTGCTTTCTATATCTTTAGTGTTGTACAATGATTCGAAGAAATTATTATTTTAATGGATTTTTTAATAATTTTTCCAATTCACTCCAAATTAAAGGTTACAATGGGCGAAATTAATAAAACTTATTATATTCTCATAGTGTGAGTCCTTAGCATTTAAGGAGTATTCATTGCAATATATATTTATATAGCTTTTTATGATATTAAGGTGGCGCGGCTGGAGAGAAATATCCAATGGATTTACTAGTAAATGTGAAAAAGTCAATTGGTAAAAGACCACTGTATAAATATAAAGGTTTCGGTCAAACTTACGCTGATGCGGCTGAATCGTAAGTTATTTAGAGGTTGTCTTAAAATATATCAATTTAGTTCTACAAAATGTTGTTGATATCGTATTGTTTATTTATATTTTATTAAAATTGTCATTATTAATAGAATCTATCACAAAACTACTGATGGATGGAGATCTCTTATCATCATCTCAGATCATAAACAGTCATATATCACAGTCACCAACCTGTATGGCTGACTATTTGTCGATTTCACATAGACGGCCCACTTCTTATTTCTTAGCTTATTCATTCGTTAGCGATAATTCAATCATCAATTAGTTTTCTATACTTTATATGTATGTATATTTATCGTAAGGGATTCTTTTACACAGGGGATCCCTGAGTGTAGACCGCTTAATAGTTCGCTTAGGGACTTATTATATTTTAATTTGTAAAAAGTCAGTAATTTGTTTTGTATATATATCCAGATTAAAGCACTCCGGAGAAAAGGAAATGAATAATAAAAACGAAAACCTGGAAACAGAAATTTCAACGGAATTAAAGAGAACACTACCTTCAAAACTTACTCCGGACATTGCCAAAGAGCTGGACGGTATACAATTTCATATTAATATTTTCATCAGTTTTATAAATATAATTTACGCCGTTGCTAATATTTTTAAGCCTGAGAGAGTCGTGATATGGTAGTTTTATTTCAGAAACTGTCGGTGAGGCATCCAGACAGCTCGCAAATATTGGAACCAAAAAAGGTAGCATTATTTTTGTAATTATGTGTGTAATATATACCTTAGTATAACCATATGTGTAATAAATACTAATAGTAAGTCAACTAGTCAACTATAATGATGGTGCGGTATGAAGGAGAACGGAGTCCCTCCCTGCCCGCGACGTCTGCGGTAGTACCAGTCGGCTTCGCTTGCGTACCGGTACGGCCGTTTAGGAATGTCACGTACACGGAATCAGTTGCACGCGTTTGGTATTCACCCAAAAACATGATATTACTCGGTATTATTTTGAAATATTGGGAAAAGATTGTATGACACCTTAAGTAACATTGAATTCTTATAACCCTGTGATTGCTTTCCATCACGATTTTTAATTGAAATATATGCGGGGATGAGATTTTATTATATCATTACATTCAACAAAAGACAAAAAACCAATTACAAATGTCGTAAACATTTGTCGGTTGGACGAGACGGGGCGGCGTGCGTTGAATAAAAAGGACCAACATATAATTTTAACCTGTTTTATTCATTCTGTTCAACCCCATATCCAATATTTTAGGCAGAATACCTGAGATACTGCTATATAGGTAAAATAAAGTAAAAATAGGATAGGTACAGTCCGCGAGGCATAAGCTGAGCTTTGCATTTGTGTGAGTGATCACCCAAAGTAGAGTGAAATAAAAAAAGTACGTGTACATACATATGTAAGTGTGACTGAGAAGTCAGAGATCAATAAGCGATAAAACAAATATATAAATAAATTATAACAATTATTCTACACCGGACAATGCATCTTCATCAGTTTCATTAGCACTTTCGTCTTCATTTTCACTCTCGTCTGATGTGTCGTTTGTGTTAATAATGAATCGTTCCACCATATCATCAAGAACGGTGTCCCGACCATGAAACCTTTTTTCTTCTTTTGTTGCGTGGTCACATACATTTCTCCATTCTTGTACAGTGATAGTGTCAACTTTTTCTTTCGCTAACCTCATTATTGTATCCAAATTCATTGACACGTTTGTTTTTCGCCACGAATTCTTTTATCATTGCCCATATATTTTCAATTGGGTTGAAATCCGAGTGGTAGGGTGATAGACGAAGGACGCTGTGACCATGTTCTCCGAATAAAGTGTCAATTTTTTATTAAAATAAATCTTTGTTTGTTTTGCAGTATCAATTGATAGACTTGTGGTTTAAGCATCGATGTAGAGTGATCAATATTGCGATAATTGAGCCAGTCAATCATATCTTGTATACGACTATTTGAGTTGGGAGCGAGATTTAAACAAATTGTGATAAGATGCATTGTCTACCACAACAACGCTATTGGGCTTTAATTATAATAATAAATTTGGAATTAATTGCGTATGTAACCATTTCGTGTATTTATCTGCATTTATATTGTTATGGTAATCACCACTTTTTTGATTTGCTTTTAACATTAGCAGTGCATTTGGTATGAAACCGTCCTCTCCGCCGGCATGAACTATTATTAAACGATTTCCTTTAGAAATTGGTTTCTTCAAACCAGAAGTGCTGCCATCTGAATAAGATTTCGAAGAAGTGTGAGTCGTGTCTATATATGTTTCGTTGGTATAAACGACTGGCCAGCCCTGAATGCGATATTTGGAAATTTTTATCAAAAATTTATACGTAGATAACGTGTATCATGTTTTTCCATTAGAATTTTTCTATTATTTAATGTCCTTTACCATTTAAATCTTAAAAGAAACACTTCTTTACGCAATGACCAAATTGAATCTGGATAGTTTTTCGCTATAGTTTTTCGATATTCGCTTCATAGTTAGCAACTCTTTATCGGTAATGTGAAAGTTGTGAATAGTTCTTCGGATTACTACTTTATCAAAATCGTCAATGATAATGATATTTTTCCTGCATCTGGTCTTCTTCTGAGATTTGAATTTGCATTTGAATTTATATGTTCAGTTGTTTCAATACTGCGATTATTGGGCACTAAAACATTGATTGTAGAAGTAATTCGTTTAGATGCTACGGATGCAGCTGAAGAAATCAAATATTTAACAGCTGTTTCTGATAGCACGGAAGTAAATCATAAGACGCCTTAGCGATTAAAATAACTTGAGGCTTATACCAACATCGAAGCACTTATTTCGTCGTTTTCTCTAATAGCTCACATGCGCAGACACTTAATACACATAATCGGATCACTTTGTTAAAAATCCACTTTAAACGAATATTTAAACCATAAAACAGGAGCAACCATCCGTCGATGGTCAAGCTCTTGCCAAAACTCACAGTAAGTAAAGTAGTACTAAGTTTAATAGATTATAGTGATTGAGTGCATAATATCTTCCAAAAGACGTATACCTTCTAATAAAACTCTTTTGACAATGGATGTCGCTACCAATTGGACTGATGTAGTGACACTTGACATGCCTTTATCGTTCATGTCTTTAAAATAATTATTTAAATCACACAAAATCTTTTACTTGGCTATTTAAAGGTTTTCGTATTCTTCGTTTATTTGTGTAGCTATTTTACTAATAAATCGAAAACAAAAACTAAATATTAAGAATTAAGCACGTCACGCTGCTACCTGTACATGAGGTGAAGTGTGGAAGGTAGGCGTGTGTATCTCTTTACGGAAACGACTCACTGAAGTGACACAAAAGATTGGTTCAGTAACAACGTTTCAAATGTATCATTTGTATCTGGAACAGTGAAACATTACTTTGCTCTTTGCTCATTTCGCGCGACGCGTCGCTTGCGAGGCGACTGAGCCACGAGCGAGAGAGAGAGAGACTGAGACAATGATAAACTTAACTATTGACTCACGAGTGGCGAGTGAGCGGGTGAAATAATTATAATCCACACAAGTCAGATAGAGATAACAAATAAAAAGTGTATCCTCAACTCGTACGGATTTTCGCTGAAATTATTCATGCACGTAAAAATTACCACTAAGGCGCATATGTGTCAAATACTATACGGTCGTTTTTTGTATGTAACGTTTGCATTAACAAGTTCACATTTTACGTTGATGCGGCGCTTGTCAAATTGTTTGTATTCATTAGCGCCTGTTTACGAAAACATACTGAGTTATGTTTAGGATTTCTTTGCGTAGTTATTATTGTGACTTTATTTTCTTCCTTTTCATCGTAAAGTTTAGAGTTATGATACTTTACGAGTAAATTCTGTGTACATAAACATTGCTGTTTTGTGTAAATGGACATTTTTGTAAATAATGAATTGACATAGTGACATTTTTGTTATAGTATGAAGGAGAATCGATTTTATATACAATCTTGTTAGGGTACACAATAAATAATCTAAGCACTTATATTATTCAGCATGGTTGCCACATTATATTTCACGGATCAGTCAGTAATAAACGCCCGCGACGCAACTTAATGTACCTATTCGGAACATTCTTTCTTTTATATCTTTTGAGGCGATGATACAAATGAGCCAAATGAAACATATCAGTGTTTCGGAACATTTCAGTGATCAAGATGCAAATGTTCCAATCCCAAAAATGATACACTTTGCCCACCTCCAGTGGAAGGTGCGCGGCGGAGTTGCGTCTCGCAAGGACGCATCGCGCCTCAGGCCGATTGCCAAAAAAACAGTATAAATTTAAACCAAGCAAAGGACGCGTCGCGCTATAGACCGACGTCACATCAATGCTATCAGCGTGCACTCACACAAATTCAAAGCTCAGCTTAAGCCTCACGGACTGTAGATACCAGCACAAGCCTTTGTTTCCATCCCGACGAAGGTGAAGCTGCGGGAAGCGACAACTAGTTTTGTAAAGTAGAATTTAGTTTGTATCCTTGTATAGAAATAATTACAAGGAATATAGATAAAATATAATGTTATAATATTTTTATCTAAGGAAATGTTTTTGTGACAACCCATGCATATTTTAGCGACTAAATGTCAAGACAGCCTTGTAGGTATTTTGCGGTATAACAAAGGAGTTGACCTACTATTAGTATTTATTATACATATGGTATAACCACAGATAATTTATTTTCTTTTTGTACAATTTGAAAAATCATACCCTATAATATGCATCTAAGGTACACGAGTAGTACGATTATTTCAAAATTATTCAAAGACAAATAGTGTAATAGTATTATGTGCAAGTAATATAATATACCTATAAACATTCATTTTTGTTGGTTCGTATCTATTTTATGCGCTGCCATACCGTTCATCAGATTGCGGTAAAACTTTGTCAACTTATTGCTTGCACTTGCGCGAAAGTCATAGTCAATAGTCATAGTACAATTAACTTACACTAAGTGGCGCGTGTATCGTACGGCCAAATTTATTTGAAAGTTATATATCATTCAAGGAATGTATTATTATCCTTCCTAATGAAATAATATGACTCTTCCAAATTTAAAACCAAATTTTTACAATTATTTCTTCTGCAGCAGCAATGCGTCGAGTTTAGTGTTTCATAAAATTACTCTTATTTCGTTACTAATAATACATTACAAATAATTACTAATCCAGTTTCAGTTTTTAACGATTTGTTAGACTTTTCTCGTTATCAACTTTCAGATTCCATTGCTGAACATAGCTTTTCTAAAAACGTACCAGCTGTCATTCTTTTTTTTTTTAAAGCTTTACCTATACTCATATCAGTGTCGATTCTCTCGCACTGGTAATTCTACTTCTCATCACCGCTCTGGAGTTTGTGTTTATTCTTAGTACTTCTTCGCAAATAGCCAGTAACCAGAGCCATTAGCAGCATTAGCATGTTGGAGAACACTTGGAGTAAATTTTACTGCTTTCCTTTTTACTTCCCATCAATATTTGTTTCAATCAATATATATGTATTTTGAACGATTATATTATGTTTACGAATTATCGTGTCTTATGTACTAATATATTGTTAATAATATTGTAATATTTCAATTATACAAAATCATTTACGCTTAAAAATTTATTGTTATAAAATATTTATTAACCATCATTCATCATGATTATCAATCATCACTTGCAGAGCCGCGCATACATAGTCATTTTTAGTTTTGTCGTAAAACGCATTTTTATGCACTTCCAAAGGTTTGTTCTTGTCTTTTAATACTCATATAATATTGTTACTAAGTATAAATAGGCCGCGATCGTACCAGGATGATGCCACCTGGTGCTACGGTAAATAGAAGTTAGTTTTTAAAATTTTGGGATAGAATTTTCCAAATAGATACATGCTACACTGTAGTTCATTTAAAGCAACGAATTTATACGGAAATAAAAAATTGTCATTTGGGGCGGCGAAAACGGTGAAAGCCTGAGAATGATGACGAATTTGAAGTTAAAACTAGTTCCAGATCCAGCAGCTATTTAGATTTTGCATACAGTAACATTATATAGTTAAGAACAACGACTAATATGATATATTGTGATAAAAAAATTATGCAACTAATTTATCGAGTTTCTTCAGGAGACGCTTTGGAGCACTTAACTCATTTGATGAAAGAAAAGGACGAGGTACCCCTTGCCAATATACAAGGCTATGAACAAACATACGGTGACGCCGCACGAAGGTTCGTTGTAATAAACACGCAAAAACACGTATTAGAATATAGCCTATTCCTTGAAAGGCAAAAGGAAAGAAAGGATATCATTTCATAGTACATCAGTAGTTCTTAATTGTTTTCATTTAGATTTATTTACATATTTTACTTAGTGCATAAACAAATTATCCCTATTCTATTACGTCAGTTTTTATGATTGATTTTTGAATTTACTTTTTTAAACGCAAGTTAGTCGTAACGTAACGTACCACTGGAGAAACAAAAAAATTTGCCCGCCTAATGTACTATAGGCACATAAATTTTATGAATATAAAATAATTATTTATTTAACAATAATTCAGAATTTCCAACGCTACAAGTCTTGTTAACGAGAAAGTGGATAAACCAACATATGCAAAAGTAAAGGGAAAGCTTAAAACTTTGGCAGAACAGAATCCTCTTCCGGAAAATACAAATGAGTTGTCAGGTAAAAACATATTTACACCTCCTGGCTGTGAAAGTTTTCTTCGGGATATTTTTAATTAATATTATTTTTTCTTTGACTTAGAAATTGTTGATGAATGTTCTGAGTTCTTGGCTTCATCACTTCCTGAGGGTAAGCCTTGGCACATTAATTTTTATTTTCATAGATGATACTCTACTAACTAAATTTTTTTTATATTAAACATAATAGATGAGATGGAAAAACGACGTCTTTTAGCTGATTTGATGGCACGTAAGGATCAGTCCTTACTCGCCCAGAATGGAGTTTTTAAGTTAACCTATAATGATGCAGGGCAGGAGTAAGTATATTTAAATTGTTTCGCTTTGTTGAATTTTTAAGTAATTTATATAATGTTACTATTTTTAATAAATTAATGTGATATCCTACATATCTACACCCATGGGCTTGATGGATAGGTCCTTAATAAGCGTGACAAAAGAGCTAATAACGGGCTACTTTGTCTTTATTAACATTTACATTCAACTTAACGACGAATATTCAAATGCGGTGTCACCCCTAGGACTAAAATGAATAGAAAGGATGTTTCTTAATCCGATTATACTATCTCTACATACCCATTATGCTGAAATATTATTAGGATTGTATTTTTAATCAACAATAAATAGTTTAGTAGATGTTTCTTAGCCAGTTTTGTGGTAGAAAAGTAGCCTTACGGCTTAAGAAAACTCTCGTCTTATATCTGACATATTTTTTGTAGTAAGAAAGCCATTACCTACCATTACCCTACTCTCCTATTATCATTTATCACGCATAGTTCTAACTTCTCATAGCACTAATATTTCCAATTAACGATTTCAACGGTGTCGGCGGGGATCAATCGTAATCGTAAAATTTTATGATTCATTGAAATCTGAGACAAGCCCCTGTCCATGAAATGTTATAACTAAAAAGCACAGTAGAAGCCATGAGTTAAATTTATTTATTATTTATTCTAGGATTATAAAATCTCCTGTAAATGTGGAAAAGACACTCGACGAAGGATTAAAAACTGAAATCTCACAGAAAATAAATGCTACTGTACCCGATAAAAAGTTGCAGGACTCGTTAAAAGGTTAACAGCTCTGAATATATTGACTAATTGGTATTAACTATATATTGTTACTATAGTTATATACGTAAGTGTAGGGCGTCCCCCCACGAGATGGAGTGACGACCTGGTAAGACATGCAGGAAGTCGATGGATGCAGGTGGCTCAGGACCGTGCTTTGTGGCATTCTTTGGGGGAGGCCTATGTTCAGCAGTGGACTTGTGAAGGGCTAATGATGATGATGATGATGATGTTACTATAGTTCATACCAATAGTATGTAGATTGTAGATAGTAGTATATTGTGATAATTCATAAATTTTGTTAACTACAGATACAATTAATGGAGCAGCAAGTTACTTAGCAAACCTCGTAAAGGGAAGAGGTAACATTCATGTATATGAATCAATAATTTATTCTTGAGTTAGTCTGTAATATATTAATAACTAAAATTACTTAAAGGAGAAGCAGTACAATTAATACACGATGGTATGAAAAAAGAAAAAGATAAGAACTTCATTTCAATTGGAAAATTCAATAAAACGCATGAACAAGCTGCTGAAATGTATGACGAATTTAATTTGTTTTTTACTTTGCATTTAATTTGTTTAACCTGATATTCAAATAAATGTCAAAAATTTTAATTCTAACAATTTAAAATAAGTCGTTTGTCTTTTTAATATCTATACCACTTTTAATTTAAATATCTTATGAAAAATAAGAGCTAACATTCAATATTTATTTTAAATTAATAGTAAGTAAATATTTTTTTGTATCCAGTATTTTATTTTGTGAAAAAAAATTTTAGGCTAGAAAAAGCCACAACGTTTAGCAGTCAGCAACCCTCTCCGGCAATTGTTGATAAAGTTTCCGATCGTGTTAGAGCAATTCCAATTGAAAACGTCAGTGCCCAAGGAAAACCACACGTGGAAGGTATTCGACCTACCAAACTTATAATATGCACACTGCACAGTGACGAATTCATAATACTATTATTTTTAATTTTAGATGCAGTGAATACAATTTCTAAATATATAGCTGGGGTGGCAACGGAAGAATGTAAGGATTTTCCATCACATTATGATTTATTTAGGAAATTCATTATTTAATTCTCAATTTCTTAATAATAGGTGGATTGGACGCTAAAGCTCTCGCATCATTAAATACCGCTGCGATTAGGTAAGAGCCGCTTATAATAATAACATATTATATTGTACATGGTACATGTTTATGTTAGAATATAAATAGTAATAATAAATAAATTATAATGTATAAAATATAGTATATTGTATATAACAACACAGAAATGTATATCAAACAATAACTGATGGTGAAATTTCTTAAAATATTCTGAAGTATTACATAATATCTAATGATCCATTGCAACTTACAATCCTTATAAGAATTATTTACGAATAATAAGCACTCTGATTAAATTCAAATCTCTGAGTTTGTGAAAAAATATAATATTAAATCATATTAGAGTTGAAAACCAATGCTATTTTTTTGCTAGTGACAAAATTGGCAATGAAACCGCAGGAAAGAGCACATCAGCAAAAGCGAACAAGTTAGTAATGGAGGATGGTAAAGTGACAACAGTAAAAACCGATTCACTAGAAAATCAAGCTACCAAATTTACACCAAATGTAGGCCAGAGAGATGGTAAATTATTAATATAATTTTCACTTTGCTATTTTGTACAAATATTAACCTATTACATATAAGTACCTACATATATTTTGTTTACTCTTTAGTCTTCACTTTGTACGCTAGATAATGAGTTTTATTATTGTAAACATAACAACTTTACTTGGTCTTGCTACTTGCTAATACAATGTAAACTTAACAAGAATTTCTAAATTTTCCCCCCAAACATAAACAAACATATTAAGGTACACAGATGTGTTACTTAGAAACTTTAATAAATGTATTTATTTATCGCACATGTAGGTACAAAGTACACACAAAAGAACAAAAGCAACAAACATTCTTTATAGATTTTATTGCAATGTGTTCGGGAAATTCCAAGTAAGACGTCATAAACATTTTTCTAACCTCGACTTACGGAGTCTGCATTTTGAAATTGGAGTTATAAAGTATCATCATCATTACAGCCCTTCACAAATCCACTGCTAAACATAGGCCTCCCCCAAAGAATGCCACAAAGCACGGTCCTGAGCCACCTGCATCCATCGACTTCCTGCATGTCTTACCAGGTAGTCACTCCATCTCGTGGGGGGACGCTCTACACTTCGCCTACCGGTACGAGGCTGCCACTCGAGAACCTTTCTTCCCCATCGGTTGTCGGTTCTTCGAGCTATATGGCCGGCCCACTGCCACTTCAGCTTACTAATTCGTTGGGCTATATCGGTTATTCTGGTTCTACTGCGGATATCCTCATTCCTAAGTTTATCACGCAGAGAAACTCCGAGCATAGCCCTCTCCATAGCTCGCTGAGCGACCTTGAGCTTCCTCATACGGCCAGCAGTGAAGGACCACGTCTCAGTTCCGTAAGTCATCACTGGCAACACGCACTGGTTGTACAATTTCGTTTTAAGGTTTTGAGGTATGTCTGACGAGAAGATGTGTCGTAGCTTCCCGAACGCTGCCCAGCCGAGTTGAATCCGTCGATTGACCTCTCGGTCGAAGTTGGACTTACCTAGTCGGACTATTTGTCCCAGGTAAACATACTCGTCAACAACTTCGAGCTTAGTGCTCCCAACAACTACCGGCATAGGTGTGACATGGACATTAAACATAATCTTTGTTTTGTCCATGTTCATCTTAAGACCTATCCGTTGGGAAACACTATTGAGGTCATTGAGCATAGTGCTTAGGCCCTCCAGCGATTCTGCCGTAAGGACTATAAAGTATAAATATGTACTATCAATATCTCGCAGGGAAATCAAATTTTGTTCAAGTTACAAAGGCTAAATGATTCGAGATACCGCGTTTTTAAGGGTTCAGCGGAAGGGAATGCCAATTTTTTTTTGTCTTACTGAGGATTACGACTTAACGAGGTTCGAGTTATTGAGATTCCACTGTATTATATCTTACCAGGCTCTTGCTGGTTATATTTAAGCCTCAGGATTCAAATACTTACTTTACTTAAATTTCACATTTCGTATATCTAACTGACGCAAGCAACTCACTATTCAACCACAAGCTTAGGCACAATTTTAAATCGTTAAGATATTCTATAATATCATAATTGTAAGTACGTACTCCAGTACCTATTTATAGTCTACTATGCATTGTACTGAGAAAAACGTAAAAATCTTCTAAGGTTTAATTGGCGATGAAGCCACAGGAAAGAGCACATCAGTAAAAGTGAACAAATTAGTAAAGGAGGATAGTAAAATGACAACAGTAAAAAGCGATTCACTAGAAAATCAAGCTAAAAAATCTACACCAAATGTAGGCCAGAGAGATGGTAAATTATTAATATAATTTTTATTTTGCTATTTTGTACAAATATTAACCTGTGACATATAAGTACATATATTTCTTTACTCTTTACTTTGTACACATTATAACAACTTTACTTTGCCTTGCTTATATTATATTTTATTGGGCTCTTGTTGATTATATTTAAGCAGGGAAGAGCACATCAGCAAAAGAGAAGACGTTAGTAAAGGAGGATAGTAAAATGACGACATTAAAAAGCGATTCACTAGAAAAACAAGCTACAAAGTCTACACCAAATGTAGGCCAGAGAGATGGTAAATTATTAATATAATTTTTACTTTGCAATTTTGTACAAATATTAACCTGTGACATATAAGTACATATATTTCTTTAATCTTTACTTTGTACACATTATAACTACTTTACTTTGCCTTGCTTATATTATATCTTATTGGGCTCTTGGTGCTTATATTTAAGCAGCGAAGAGCACGTCAGCAAAAGAGAACAAGTTAGTAAAGGAGGATAGTAAAATGACAACAGTAAAAAGCGATTCACTAGAAAAACAAGCTACAAAGTCTACACCAAGTCGATACCTCCTAAGTATAATAATGAGTCAACTACATAATTCAAATTTTACAGGAGCGCTTGTCAAAGATTAATTGTTTATAACTTTTTCAGTTTTGGTCCTAGCATTTTCATTTTTTAAATTCGTACGATTTTAATATTTGAGACCCTCAGATAATAAAAGAGTAGAACTATTTTAGTGACTTTCCAAGATAATGTAGTTGACTTAGTATACATCATGTAAACTATGACCTATAATGAGCTAACAGCCACATACACTCGTTTACAATGTCATAATAATAATAATAATCTATTGACACACACATAAAGAAAAGTTACATAAATCACAATTTTACAATTTGATTACTTTTAGTACAGAATACGATGTATTTCTATATTTACCATATCTCGAGAAAAAAGTATTAGGTTTATAAAAATACAAATACAGAATTGTATTTCATTTTCTTGGATTAATTTACTGAGATTGTATCTACAGAATAAACGGTAGTAAATTAGTTGACTCATTATACACTGATTGTTATGTCCAAAATCGGTTTGATGGAGTAGCAGTAAATTGATATATCTGAAAAATAATCAAACTTTTAGCTTGTTTATTTTTCATATGATAGAAAATAACTATTTCTTGTTATTTATTATTTATTTAAACTTATTCAATTCATAATACGTGGTTAAAGTATATATACCTTCCATAAACATTGCTTAATACACCACCCATAAAGGTAGAAAACAAAATTTTATTTTTCTTTAGTATTAAAACTAATTAACAAAATAAAACATCTTATTTCTATTCTTAATCCAATGAATTTTTCAGAAGTATCTGTTTTTAGGTTATTTTAATCACAGTCAGACTCATCATTATTAATATTGCCTATAATCAGACTATTATAAAATAAGTGATATTATTTTGGTGTCTGACGTGACTTTTACCAAGATTCAAAAAGTCTTTGTGTTTAATTTTGTCAATTGGCAGGGGTTTTTCATAAGCACTGACTAGAAGCAGCTCCACCTTTTCCTTTTTGTTTCGTGTGTTCTTCGGTTTATTCAAGCAGTTAATACATTTAACACCATCGTCTTCACAGTTTTACTTAAATATAATTTTAAAATGATCATTTCTTGTATTTTAAATTCACTCACATTGTTCATGACATTTTAGTTCCATAGCTAGTAGTTGTCCAATGATTGCAGTGCTTGAAATGTGTTTTAAAATCAAGAATCAACTCCTGTGACGTTACAATGACATTATAGGGCTTTCCGTCTGTTTTAAGTTATAATCCTGTTTTTAAACTGTCCCTCAATCAAGGCATGCATGTTGTCCCTTCATTTTGGGTGTAACCAACGACAAGGAAACGATGAATAACACTTATATAAAATTTACATTACAAATACGACTCAGTTTCAATTCTAGCCTCCACAATTGCCAGACCAGAAACGATATTCTTTTATACATTTGGGTATTGTCATTTCAATAAATTTATAAACACAGCTTGCAATTTAATTAGCTCCCCTTTTAGCTGGCTGTTGATTCCAAGAATTTGCTATTTTACATGGACGGTTTTCTTTTACAATAGAATGTACATTTAACATTTCTTTAAATAAAAATTACACGCTAAAACCTCTTTATTTGTATTGCTAATTTCTTGTCTTTTTTTTAATTTTCTAGCTGTTTTCTTTTCTTCCAAATGATATCTTTGTTTTTGTATTTATTCTTCGGTAGCCTGTATTTTATTTCCAAATGTGTGACATTTTTCGCATACGTCTGTTTTGGGCTTATGAAAGGCAATATTTAATTATTTATTTACAATATCACGATATTGTCGTACATTAGACGCTTTGCCAGAATAAACATTTGAATCAAACCACTCTTCATAATGCTTATACATCTTGGGAAATCGCAATGAGCCATCCAAATACTTACATTTCGAATCTTTGCGAGTGTAATGAGCTTCAAAAGGCGCGAGAGTTTCAATAATGTGATCAATAACACCACGTACCGTATTGAATGTTATAGTTTTTGGATGGTGATAGGATTCTACAAACACTTTTCAACGATGAAATTTTTCTAGAGTGGTATAAACAAAGTTGAAACTTATCGAGACGGTTCTAAGAAATATTGTTTTACAAACAGATATTCTTGTTATCTCTGCATTGTCATTTTTGATTCCAGCCATAGCAAATAATATCGAATTTTCAGAAACAGTAAAATTAACTTTTGGTATTTTTATAAGGTACTTAGTGATAAAATCCCACTGTCGTGAATGATTACCAATCCTCCAAAACATCTCAAAAATAATTTTTCGGTTCTCTTCTGATATCCTATCATAACATTTATGACGGACCATTTCTACTGGTGTACTCCATACCTCTATTCATTTTGTATTTTCTTTGGCTATCCTTTAATTCTTGCTTGAATTACTCCCTTAAGCAACCTTTGTCCTTTTTAATATTTTAAGTTCACTTGCGTCAATTGTTTGGCTCATTAGTAGTACTTACTACAGAATCAGTATCTTCTATGTAAGACCAATCGCTGGTATGATATAGTAAAACTAAAGTTTGTGTAACTATTTCGACTAAAAAACGAAATTGCAGGTGAAGGTATAGGATTATAATGCTCTTAGTCTTAAGTCCATTTACAAATATCTCGATACATGAGGATTCTCTCGAATGTTCTATTATTGATGGCGAATAGACTGACTCAGGTAACGTATCGATAATATTATCAGGAAATGTGGAGGCTTTGGATGGCAAAATTTCTAGAATACGTTCACTATATTCTAGGTCTACGTGATCGATAATTGACAGTTCATCTTTATTAAAGTAAGCACCAGGTGTCAAAGGGGACTCTGAAAATAAAGTAAACATGCTTTTTATATCATGCCATTAATGAGGCAAATTATAGCAGCGCAGACTTACAAACAGACGACTGTTTAAAATTAATCCCTTTACTATTAAAAATTAGAATACTAAGTCATGTGTAATATTACTGCAAACTATCACGACGTATACTGGTTTATCTCAACTTAACCCAGTATACAATGTACAGAACCTTTAATAATTTATAACTTAAAAATAATGTGATTATTTACTGTCATAATTATAATATATATAAGCTAATGTAATGAAAAACTTAAATCACTTACCATTTTTATGAAAAGATTCCACAGACTCGTTATTTTCAAAATTTTCGTGAATACCTCTAATATAATTTGAGAGTCTTAAGTCGACTAAATTAAGCCTAAGTTTTGCTCTATCATTTTGCAGTGTTTCCCTCCATGCTAATTTAAATTAAAATGTAGTGATTTTATAAATCAAATCTAATATATTGATTGCAAAAATATACACCTAAATTGACATAATCACGTACCACGCGAACGCTGTATACTGGTCCAGTTTGCACATGTCGCTTAAAGTACTCCACCCGCGTCCCGCGTATACTGAATCCGAGTAGTTAGATTAGAGTACGTCGTATTGAAATTTTAAATAACACAACATGAACCAGTATACGTTAGATTATTTCCAAAACTACTTATGAATTTTAGGTTTTTTTGACATAGTCTGATAAATAACATGTTTTTACAATCAATACCCTCAAAACCTGAAAATCCCTAAAATGTTAGATGACTCACTATACTTAGAAGGTATCGAAATGTGGGCCAGAGAGATGGTAAATTATTACTTTGCAATTTTGTACAAATATTAACCTATCACATATAAGTACATATACTTTCTTTAGTCTTTACATTGTACGCTAAAACTAAGTTATAATATTATCAACATTATAACAACTTTACTTTGTCTTGCATATATTTATATAGACGGCTCCATGGCGCAGTGGCTTAGCAATCAGTTGTTGCGCTGGGGGCCGCGGGTTCGAATCCCGCACGGAACAAGTATTTGTATGGCCTACAAATAATTGTTCCGGGTCTGGATGTTTGTCCTTGTGCAATTTATGTTTGTAAACTGTCTCCACGACACAGGAGAAAATCCTAGTGTGTGGGTAACGTTTTTAAAAAGAAAAAAAAAAAAGAAAGAAAATTATATGTTACTGGGCTCTTGTTGATTATATTTAAGCAGGAAAGAGCACATCAGCAAAAGAGAACAAGTTATTAAAGGAGGATAGTAAAATGACAACAGTAAAAAGTGATTCACTAGAAAATCAAGCTAAAAAATCTACACCAAATGTAGGCCAGATAGATGGTAAATTATTAATATAATTTTTATTTTGCTATTTTGTACAAATATTAACCTGTGACATATAAATACATATATTTCTTTACTCTTTACTTTGTACACATTATAACAACTTTACTTTGCCTTGCTTATATTATATCTTATTGGGCTCTTGTTGATTATATTTAAGCAGGGAAGAGCACATCAGCAAAAGAGAACACGTTAGTAAAGGAGGATAGTAAAATGACGACATTAAAAAGCGATTCACTAGAAAATCAAGCTAAAAAATCTACAACAAATTTAGGCCAGAGAGATGGTAAATTATTAATATAATTTTTATTTTGCTATTTTGTACAAATATTAACCTGTGACATATAAGTACATATATTTCTTTACTCTTTACTTTGTACACATTATAACAACTTTACTTTGCCTTGCTTATATTATATCTTACTGGGCTCTTGCTGATTATATTTAAGCAGGGAAGAGCACACCAGCAAAAGAGAAAAAGTCAGTAAAGGAGGATAGTAAAATGACCATAGTTAAAAGTGATTCACTAGGAAAACAAGCCAGAAAATCTACAGTAAATGTAGGCCAGAGAGATGGTAAGTTATTAGTATAATTTTTACTTTGCTATTTTGTATAAATATTAACTTATACATATACCTACATATATTTATATTACCCCGTGTAGTGGCGGGTAAGAATACCCACTACCCCATATCTTCCCGTGGGTGTCGTAAGAGACGACAGGGGGAGACTGAGGCAGAAGATGGGCAACAGCATCTTTCTGATAACAGCAAATCAATAAAAAAAAATAAAAAACTGCGGTTGCCAACCCGCTCGCCAAGTGTGCAACTATGGCAATATACCATGATGAAAAATACGAAGAGACGGCCCCAGTCCCCGGCGGCCCCGATATTCCTGGCTACGGTGGCGACAGTGGTAACGGTGGGGCAGGGGGTGCTAAAAATCTCCAGTGGAGGTTCGGTTGCCACCTAAGACGACTCGACCTGGCAACATATAACGCACGCTCCCTGAGGAGTGACGAGAAGATCCTGGAGCTGGAAGAAGAGATAGACAAGTGCGCTGGAATATGGTAGTCATGGACAGGAGACATGGTAATCCTCGAATCTGACAACTTGTTCTATCACCATCTGTCCCAAGGAGGTGTTTGGTTTATCGTCCACAAGTCTCTCGTTAATAAAGTTGTAAAGATTGAGAGGGTGTCGACGAGGGTTGCGTTTATACTTTACCTTATACTCAGAATCAACAAACGGTATTTGCTGAAGATCATACAGGTTTACGCACCAACCTCGGCACATCCCGATGAAGAGGTGGAGGAAATGTATGAGGATATATCTAGAGCCATGCATTCCTCCAAAACCCAATATACGGTATTAATGGGAGACTTCAACGCAAAACTAGGTACAAGAGAGAACGGTGAGCTGAAAGTAGGGAAATTTGGAATAGGGCAACGGAACCCAAGGGGCCAGCAGCTGGCCGACGTCATGGAGAAAGAGGGACTCTTTATGATGAACTCTTTCTTCCAGAAGCGGCCCCACAGGAAGTGGACCTGGTCGAGTCCCGACGGTTGCACAAAAAATGAGATTGACTTCATTATGACGACTAGACGACAACTGTTCAGTGATGTCTCAGTGAACGCGAGGGTGAAAACCGGCAGCGATCACCGAATGGTGAAAGGCACATTGAATCTAAACGTTAAGTTGGAGATGTCTCGTCTAATGAAGTCAACGGTCCGTCCCCCTGGTGCTCTAGTCCAGAGTCCCGAAACCTTTCAGCTCGAGCTACAAAACTGTTTTCAGTGCCTAGACTACTGCAATGAAGTGGACAATATGAATGATGAGCTCGTGGAAACTGTCCATGCGGTCGGAGGACCCGCCGCAGAAGAACACAAAAACTCTACGATCACACTCTTAATCTCATGGCTGTTAGATGGGAAATGAAGCTGCAGTCTTCAACAGATTTGACAGCATACAGGCAACTGAACAGACAGATCTCCAAATGTATGCGGCGGGAGTTACTCAACTTCAATACAGATTGTATTGAAGAAGGGATCGAGCGTAATCAAGACTCCAAAGTCTTTGCCACAGATCTGTCTGCCAGAAAGAGCCAACTGTCGAAGCTGATGACCAAGTATGGCAGCATCGTTTCCGGGACACGGATTAGTAAGCTAAAGTGGCAGTGGGCCGGCCATATAGCTCGAAGAACCGACAACCGATGGGAAAGAAAGGTTCTCGAGTGGCAGCCTCGTACCGGTAGGCAAAGTTTAGGGCGACCCCCCACTAGATGGAGTGACGAACTGGTGAGACATGCAAATTAAGTAGATGAATGCAGGTGGCTCAGGACCGTCTTTGTGGCACTCCGTGGGAGGCCTATGTTCAGCAGTGGACTTGTGAAGGGCTGTGATGATGATGATGAATGATGACATATATTTTGTTTAATATTTAATTTTGTATGCTACTGCAATAACACATTATTATTTTAGTAACTCATTTTTATCGTTCATATAATATGATTTTGCAAAACAAACATTTATTTTTACAGAAGTGGACCCGGAACGCGAACAAGCCCTACAAATATTGCACTCAAAACTCAAAGCACGTGGCGCTGAAACTTTTTACAAGCAACCGCACAATGTCTTAACTCACGCGCAGGCATCAGAATGGTATCACATTTTTGTAATAGAAACAGTACTTAGTTTTTCTTATAATATGTAATTTGAAACTGTTGAAACTATGGCGATTCGCTATTTTTTTTTTGTATTACAATTATTTGTTCTATTAAGAACTCTTTGACCAGTTTGTAGTTTTTAGATATTTTTTTATTTAGAATTTTCCAATTAAGGTAGTATTTTAAAATGCAGCTGACAGTGCCTCAATGCGGAATCATCTTACAGTCTTTAGCGGTCTTTCTTTGTGTTTTGTTGATTTTCATAACGTAACGAGGGTGTCTGTAACGGAACAGTGTGTGAAATGACGCCCTTATTTTTTGAGGATTAAGCGTCATCAAAGACGTTTCACAACTGTAAGGTCTAAACTGTGATGTCACGTAGAGTCATCACTGTATCATTGCACAATTCTGTGTTAAAATTACACAATAAACATGTACTGAGAAATAAGAATCGGATAGAAAGAAAGAAGAAAGAGAAAACTTTATAACATTTCTTTCCCAGGTTATCGAAGAAGCCATTTAGTGTAGATAAGTCTGTAAAGGAATCAGCAGATACCGCTCGTTTGCACAAAAAGTTTGAAAGGAAGCTTAGTGCGCTTGTTGGTACGAGCACGGCACCTTCAATGCAAGATGCAATGCAAGGTATATTAACTACATCTATGTTATCATTTATAATATTCAATATTTTGTCTATTTATTCAACAGTTTGAGATTGCTCTTATTGGCTCTTATATTTCATGGAGGATTGAACTCGTTGTTTATAATTTTAGTGCAGTTTTGTAATAAGTTTTATCCTCTTTTATAATTTATCATTTACAGACGTCATCATCGAGACTTCAAGAAATCTTTCCGAATATTTTATGTCCAAAAGTAAGTCATGTTCGTTTTTTTTTAATAAAATTGTTTTATTTTCCACCCCTAAACACGCTCTATCACTTACAAATTTTATGGTATTTCGTCATTAAAGAAATCCTTATAATTTCGTTTTTCTTAACTATTTTGTATTTTTATAATTTATTGTATATATGTTATATTTATTATTATTATGTTAATAAAATTTTGTTAGATGCTTTTTGTTGATAAACTTTCACAAACTGCGAATAAAAGTGTTACTTATCATACGTTGAAGGTTACAATGTCCTTGCACGAGAAGCCGTCATATCGGAGATGCAGAACCGTGGTAACGAGATCCTCGTAGAAGTAGATGGAGCAGCTGAAAGTTTCTTTTATTCTGCACAAAGGTAGATTACAGTATTATAACTAGCCCTACTAAATCCAATAATATAAAGGGCGTTTCAAACTTTACTCAACTAACATATAATCTTGAAAGGCTTATACATATTCATCACTCTTAACAGATGGTTGTAATATCTATCAAAATAAATGAAGTAAAGAATTTTCACAACTTAACAAAACATAAGGTTATTTTAAAAACAATTATTATATCTAAAAAAAATCTCCAAAAAATTATTAGGTTTGGCAAAATGATAAAAAACACATTAGAGTGCGCCACATGAATAAAAGAAATATATAAACATATAGAATTGTGGGAAATATTGTTGTTCAATGTAATATTTCGTTTAATAGGTACTATATTTTATTTCGATTATCTCTTTTGTATACTTACATTAACACTCTTATTCAAACTGTGATTTTTTTTAATTTTAGATTGAAAAAAGCCAAGACTCTTGAGGCTGAAAAACCTTGTTCAATCCAGTATAACATAGTGAAGAAACTAGAAGAAATGGTAAGATCTCGCGGCACTCTGAGAAAACTAACTCCACACATAAAAGGTTTAATATCTAAATATTATTAATTTCATAAATTCACAACTATATAGAAAAGCTTTTGTAAATTATATATTTCTTTTTCGCAGATTACATTCACAGTGCAGGGGAATATTTATCTGAACATGTAACTAAACCTGGTAAATATTTTTGGTACTTTTATTGCTAATTTTAATTTTTGGTAACGCCTTCTCAATAATTGCATCAGATACATTTTCAGTCTTCGTAAATATGATCATCTCTCTCTATCGCTCTCGCCTTAAATGGCTCACTATTGAACAGAGGCGTGACTCTAGAAATTTGCTTGTTCTCTTCTCTATCTGTATCGTTATTTTACTTATAAGTTTATATTATATGTATCAATATATATATATATACATATATATATATATATATATATATATATATATATATATATATATATATATATACTAGCTGACCAGGCAGACGTTGTTCTGCCTGACGACCCTATTGTCCTATAAAAATCCGTAAATTCGCAATAAAAATTTTTGAGGGTCACTTATCCGGATAAAAACTATCCTATCTCTCAAGTTGGACCAAACTGCACAGAGTGTGCAAAATTTCATTGAAATCAGTTCAGTAGTTTAGGAGTTCATCGCGGACAAACAATGTGACACGTAATTTTTATATATAAAGATATATATATATATATATATTATAGCTATACTTTTACATTGTTATACAAAAAACTTAGTGTAAAGAAAGACTTCGAGAGATAGAGATAAATTATCCATGCTTAACTTGTAAAAGTCAACTGCTGAAAATAAGCCTTCTATTAGCTATTAACAATAGACTTTTAAAGTTAATAAAATTTTAATTTCCTAGTACGCGAGCAAACCTATTTCCACGCCCGACGGTCACACTGTTTTTAAGTCCTCATTTACCTGCATATACGAAAATGCTGTCTATCCGAAAATAAGTGAAGCAGTGGAAGTATTTAGGCTGATACTTTGTTTTTTGTACTTATAATTTAATATACGTTGCAATTACGAAATAAACTATAGACTATCAGGGGCTAGCTTAGATCTACCACGTATTATTAACATGGATATTATATTTGCAGATAAAGAAATTGAAGCCTACGTTGCGCTTCTAGCGGAAATGGAAGCAGCCGGTGATAGTCCTCTCGTTGAGGGAAATATTCGTAAATCACATAAAGAAGCAGCTGCTTAGTAAATTTATTACAATTTAATTTGCCTAGTAAATTTTATAATGCGTATCACTACTTATTTAACTGCATTATTATGTTAAATGTGTTTGATAGAAGTTTGGGGTGGGCTAAGAAGACATACGAATTTCAAAATATTATTGCAATCGAACGGTATGTTTGAGTATGGCGCGGGTGGTAGAACATTTTGCGGTGAGCAATGTGCATTTTGTGTCAAACAAAGATGGCGCTCCATGCATTGTTGGTCGGCTTTTATTTCGCTCTGGATATTATTAATAACATGAACTATATCAATGTTCCAGCGAAATTTTGATTCGATCATTGGTTAGGAAAATCGCTCAAAACGCCCAAGGTCAAAAAGAAAAGCAGAAGTGCCAACGAAATCTTACAAATTTAATTTGAGATATTTGTAGAGTTCTTGCAACAAGGTGGCTAACATCTGTATATTGTTATTTTAAAAAATTTATTTTCTATTTGTTTATTTAAATTTATATGGTTGCCAACCCGCTTGCCAAGCGTGGCAACTACGGCAACTATCCTCTATGAGGCCATCTATGAGGGAGGCCTATGTTCAACAGCGGATTTTAATAGGCTGTAACGGTAACTGTATATTTTTCATAATTTATAGTTCTTTTACGATTTTTTATATCCAATTATCTTAATGGCTCAAGCTGTATATAAGTACCTAGCGTACAGAAATATCTATTAATACAATGTGTAATCGTGAATTCGTCGAGTCACGCGGCTTCGCTAAGGCGCAGCGCCGCTGTTGCACACTGCGCCTACCGAGGAAGCACGGCTGCGTCGTGATGCGTCGCTCTATGTGTATTACGCGAGTCATCTCGAGTCGCAGCGCAGCGTAGCGGGACGCCGCGCCGCGGGGCATTTTCGAACAATCTAAATAATAATATAATATAATAATATTTGTGTATTAAATAAAGTTATATTTTGTATCACTATTTTGAAAAGTCACGTCTCGGTGTAAGCTGACCCTAAAACTAGTCTCAGGGAGCAGACGGGATTTTTTTACATATTTTTCATATAATTCCATATTAAAATAGTTTAGGTAAATTTAAGATAATCATTTTAACCAATCTAGCAAATAATTCAAATCCTTATATACTAAAATATCCGAAAGTATTTCGAAATTATACTTTTAAAGTGTAAAGAAGTTTTTATATTTTTATGAATAGAAAATATATCTGTCACAAATATAGTAATTGTACAATTACAGTTTACGCCAGTTAACTTCATTTGATGATCAATTAAAACTAGATGATAACACTCTCCGAAAGACAATTGAAACTAAGTTGGGAAACCTTATGGCAAATGTAACAAAGACAGGATATAGCAAATCTGATCTCGATCGTACGTACAGTTCATGTTTTTTGTGACAAAGTAGTAAACATTTTTTTTTATTAAAATGAAGTGACTAACAAGTTAAAAGTAGAGCCGTTCACCTGAAACATAAATGTTCTCCAGAACGATTTATCGGTCACGGCGTCTGCACAGGACAGGATTCTTCTTCGCAAACTTCTTCTTCTGTACTTCTTCCGTTTGTATTTGCACTCTCTATTCCCTCACTCTCATAGTCCGCTGAGATGGCAATCGGAGAGAGATCAGGCGCAGGACCAACGACTTTACGTGCTTTCTAGGGCACGGGCATAAAACACCGTCAAATTCTGATTCTGACGAGCTACTACGAATTTCTTAACGGAAGAACTCAATTACTGGTTCTGAACTGACACGGGATACGAACCCGGAACGTCAAGATCATCAGTCGCGCTTACTACCACTGATCCAACAAGAAGTCACACTAAACAATACCTAAGTTACGTTATTTAACCGGATTATGATTTTGAACACCCACTTGACATAAATTAATTATAGCCAATTAATCTAAGGTAAAGGAACAACATTGTGCATGTCCAAAGATACCAACGAGTATATTCGAAAACAGAGCAAAACAAAAAGTAGAGCAGCGTGACCAACTTTCCTGCTCCTGCTACTTAGCCATAGAACCTGTGATTCTATTTTTGTGATTTTGAATTAGTAACCGTCACTATGTAACGAAAGTTGTGTTTTTTTAATTGAATTTTAATCTGTCTGCGTTTATTTCAGATGTCATTCATCAAAACGCTGTACTTTTAACGTCTTACATCAAACTGCAAGGTATCATCATATCATATTACTAAACTGTTTTAATATCAGAAATATTTTACTAGATTTATTCTATATTACGCAGGTGAAAAGACAGATGCACTTAAAGTATTGATAGAACAAATGGACAAGGAAGGTGAAAATGTACTTCTGCGACACGGAAACCTTCGTAAGACATATCTTGACGGCGCAAATATGTAAATAAACATTATTACCAAAATCTTAAAATATGTATCAAATTAATATGTATCAAAAGTTTGTAAAAAAACTAACCTGCATATTTGATACATATTAGGTTGTGTTCACATATTTTTCTTATTAATATTTATTGTACTGTTACAGCTTACGGACAAAGAATGCAGATCAATTGCATGTTGTAAACGCAGATCCAGTAGTTTCTAGGAAGATACAAATAAAACTTAATAATTTAATGCTTAAAGTTACACCAAATAAATACAAGGATCTTATGGACGGTGAGAAATTTATTGCATCAATTACTTCATATTGGTATATACATAAGAATACATATTTTACAACCGAACTATTTTACTTAATAATACTTTTACAATGTTTATCTATATCCAACATGGAAGTATACAGTATACTCACAGCAGAGAGCTATCTTAGCGGGCTGAGTTTCAGATAGTAATGTCACACCTATTTATTTAATACATATTTCTCTCACACTGAATTTAATCTTTAACATGGTCTTGTCACTGCCCATCGGAGGATGGAAGAACTGGGAGATGATGATGTGCGTGCTTTGGACCTACAAAATAATTATACACTATTGAAATTGGTTTAAATTTTAGAATTTTTTTTAATTATATATTTTTGTTAATGATCTTTTTCCGTTTTCTACTTCTTACTTATATTATATTTTTAGAAGTTGTTCACGATGTTACAAATTACCTTGCTGTGCATTTCTTGCAACCAGGTGAGATTATTTTGTTGTTCTTCCTGACTGTCCCTTTCTTTTATTTGTTTGATATACTTTGTAATGTTTATTGTTTAATGACGCAGAGGTAATAAAAGTTTGCAAATGTATGAAGAATGTCTTTGTGCAATGTGAACTATGGTGCGAAGAAATCCTGAGGCGAATGAACAGACCATGTTGCACATGCTCTCGCCATGTACATACCCAACAGCTCGCTGATGTCTGCCCCGATCGCAAGCTCTATCTCAGTGAAAGTGGATCGCATCTTTTTGCTTCTGGTCTTCAAATCTCTCTTACCGACTGCCCTTCTAAACTTAGTACGTTTGGAGAACCATCACAACCCTGCCCAGCCTCGAAACCAACATTTGATTGCCATTCAAATACAACAGCTTCTTACGTTTTGTACACCACCCAGGGACCATTCGATAACATCCCAACAAAACTATCTGAAGCAGATTCTTTACGAGCACAAATAATACAAGACACGCAGATTGCTTCACCGTCACTTAACCCTCGTCTGCCACTTAGACACGCGTTCTCTGACCATGTTCGGACTCTGCAAGCACATGAATCTACACAGATGAGCACTTCTGTAATTTCTGAGTCTTCTGAAGTTGAACCATCGCACAAGTTTTGGCAATCGCCGACGACCATGTTTGCGAAAGTAAACTTACAGACATCAAACTTAACTAAAAAAATAGATAACGACCTTCGATCTGGATTTTCTAAAAGGAGTTATCAGCCTAAAAATGTGTTTAGTTCCCGTAAGTGTAATTTTTGGCAGTTTATTATACTCGTGACTATAGTTTAATCTATCCTTTAAACTTCTTTTATATTAATCAGGAACACCAATTATCACCACGGACCAAATGTTCGATTGGCATTCGATGATGGTTAGTCTGATATGGAACGTCCAAGCTTGGAGGGTTTGGATACAAGAAAATATCAATAAAGTTTTAGCCTACCACCATAATAGTTAGTTTTCAGTTAACAATTATACATTAGTCTCATTGACTATGGTAAATAACATATTCTACTATAGTACAGTATGAACAAATATTGTAATTTATTTTCAGCGGAATTGGCAGAATCTTGGACAGATTTTCAAAGAACAGTTTCAACAGAAATTTTGCAATGGCATCAGTACAGTATATTTAGTGTACAGCTGACGATACGTCTTGCTTCAAAGTACAATAATAAAAAAGTAAAAATATTCCAATTTTCTTATTTTACTTATATATTATGTTTCATAAATCTTAAATTAACATCCCTTTATTATAAGGCGTTAGGAATAACTAGAATACTAAAGCGATAACTTATTCAAATTCGGTAATAATTTTTCTTTACTTTGAAATAAAGAAAGAAACGTCCATAGGCATAGTGTACATAAAGTTGCGATTTGTATGTTACAAGTAATATGTAGTAAATTACATTTTACATCCAGATCATATCACCAACGAGAACTTCTGTCAAAACAAAAGCATTCTTGGAGTGTCACAATGAAATGTTGGAAATAATTGATATGTTCAGTAAATGGACACAGTGGTTAACTGTTATTGTAAGTTCGATAGTATTTCCATAATATTTAAAACATTGAAAATTTCTGCCTTATACAAAAATAATCTTCTATTCTTAATCCGATACAGATAAAAGAAACTGATTTACTACTGGGGCAGAATTTATTTTCTCAGTAAGTGCATTTTAATTTTAAACTGGATAACATGTTAAACAATTTTTTTTTTTACATTATTTATTTTATCAGGCGATGGCAAATTCTTAAGGAAAAAGTTAAAGAGCAAATAAAAGACTGGGATAATTACAACCAACACTTGATATACTACTGGGAAAATAGGTTTAAAACTTTAATATCAGGTAACTGCATCTTTACTTATTACTTTTATTATAAATAAATTTTGTAATATTTATCAAAAAGTATGGATGTTTGTATAGTTAATATGTATAAACGATCAAATGACCTGTCCTGTATTCACTGATGAGATACATTTTCCCAAAAGAAAAGCTACTTCAGGAAAATACACATGAAGACGGATTTGTTTTCTTGCGATCGGAGTTGCGGGCAGAAAATAGACACTATAATATCTTTATATCTTTTTGGCTTTTACAGCTTCATCTGATACAAGGCTCGCGGCCTGAAAGGCCTGTTTAATAGAAAGGTGATTTGGTTTCTTACCAATCATCATGTCCCCTCTATTGTATTGTGCTTAGGCGTAGGTGTGTACGCGGTGTGTGCTGGAACAACCCAATCGGTTAACCTATATGTGTTTGTCCCATTTGGTGTGGGTGTAGTGTTATTGTGTGATGTGCCTGCGACGTTTGTGGCGATGGGATCGAGCGTAATTTTTCTGTGCCGATAGCTAGTCTCTGTTGAGACTGGCCTGGAGAGCATTATTGTTAATCATCATCATCATCATCATTACAGCCCTTCACAACCTTTCTTCCCCATCGGTTGTCGGTTCTTCGAGCTATATGGCCGGCCCACTGCCACTTCAGCTTACTAATCCGTTGGGCTATGTCGGGCACTCTGGTTCTGCTGCGGATATCCTCATTTCTAAGTTTATCACGCAGAGAAACCCCGAGCATAGCCCTCTCCATAGCTCGCTGAGCGACCTTGAGCTTCCTCATACGGCCAGCAGGGAAGGACCACGTCTCAGATCCGTAAGTCATCACTGGCAACACGCACTGGTTGTACAATTTCGTTTTAAGGTTTTGAGGTATGTCTGACGAGAAGATGTGTCGTAGTTTCCCGAACGCTGCCCAGCCGAGTTGAATCCGTCGATTGACCTCTCGGTCGAAGTTGGACTTACCTAGTCGGAATATTTGTCCCAGGTAAACATACTCGTCAACAACTTCGAGCTTAGTGCTCCCAACAACTACCGGTATAGGTGTGACATGGACATTAAACATGATCTTTGTTTTGTCCATGTTCATCCTAAGACCTATTCGTTGGGAGACACTATTGAGGTCGTTGAGCATGGTGCTTAGGTCCTCCAGCGATTCTGCCATAAGGACTATATCGACGGCAAATCGAAGGTGAGTGATGTACTCGCCATTGATGTTAATACCGTATCCTTTCCAGTCTAGCTTGAAAACATCTTCCAATGCAGCGGTGAAGAGTTTCGGGGATATAACATCACCCTGTCTTACACCTCTCTGCAATTGGATAGGTTTCGTACTCTGGTTCTGTACTCGGATAGCCATCGTAGCTCTACTGTACAAACATTTCAGCACTTCGATATACCGACAGTCAACTTGGCACCGCTGAAGGGACTGCAGCACCGCCCAAATTTCGACGGAATCAAAGGCTTTCTCATAGTCCACATACACCAGACATAGTGGCAAATTGTACTCTCGGACTTCTGTACATTTTGCCGAAGGGTATGTATGTGGTCTATGGTGCTAAAGCCCTTTCGGAAACCGGCTTGTTCGGGAGGCTGGAAGTCGTCAAGTCTGCGCGCGAGACGATTCGTAATGAGTTTCGAAAACAGCACGTAGACGCGGCTCAGAAGGGAAATATGTCTGTAGTTATTCAAGAGGTCGTTGTCACCTTTCTTGAAGAACAAGACCACCGCACTTCTGCTCCACGCCTCCGGTGTAATGCCACCATGGAGGACGGAATTAAAGAGCTTCTGAAGGACTTCAAGTACCGGTCTTCCACCCGCTTTCAGAAGCTCCGCTGTAATTCCATCCTCGCCTGGGGCCTTGCCGTTTTTAAGGTGCTGGAGAGCCATTCTAATCTCGCTCAGACTGACGTCCGGGATATCTTCGGAATATTGTCGGATAAGACTCGCTCTTAGATCGTTACTCACACTTGCGTGTGGCTCCAACGATGACGTGTACAGCTGCCCATAGAACCTCTCAATCTCACTCAAAATCTCAGGTGCCCCGGAAACGATGCTGCTACACTCGGTCTTCAGCTTTGACAGTTGGCTCTTTCTGGCAGGCAGATCTCTGGCAAAGACTTTGGAGCATTGGTTCCGCTCGATCGCTTCTTGAATACAAGCTCTATTGAAGTTGCGTAAGTCCCGCCGAATGCATGTGGAGATCTGTCTGTTCAATTGCCTGTATGCTGTCAAATCTGTTGAAGAATGTAGCTTCATCTCCCGTCTAACAGCCATGAGATTGAGAGTGTGATCGGAGAGTTTTTGTGTTCTTCTGCGGCGGGTCTTGCAGAACTTAGCTCCGACCGCATGGACAGTTTCCACGAGCTTGTCATTCATATCGTCCACTTCATTGCAGTCTTCTAGGCACTGAAAATGATTTTGTAACACGAGCTGAAAGGTTTCGGGACTTTGGAACAGAGCACGAGGGGGACGGAGCGTTGACTTCATTAGACGAGACCTCTCCAACTTAACGTTTAGTTAGTTACATTTTTTGTCGAATCATCGGGGCTCGACCAGGTTCACTTCCTGTGAGGCCGCTTCTGGAAGAAAGAGTTCATCATAAATAGTCCCTCTTTCTCCATGAAGTCGGCCAGCTGCTGGCGCCTTGGGTTCCGTTGCCCTATTCCGAAATTCCGTACTTTCAGCTCACCGTTTTCTCTTATGCCTAGTTTTGCGTTGAAGTCTCCCATTAACACCGTATAGTGGGTTTTGGAGGAATGCGCGGGTGTGCCGAGGTTGGTGCGTAAACCTGTATGACCTTCAGCGAATACCGTTTGGTGATTCTGAGTATAAGGTATGCAACCCTCGTCGACACACTCTCAATCTTTACAACGTTGTTAACGAGAGACTTGTGGACGATAAATCCGACACCTCCTTGGGACAGATGGTCGCCCTCCCGGTGATAGAGCAAGTTGCCGGATTCAAGGATTACCGTGCCCTCCCCCTCTCTTCGGACTTCGGATAGTCCTATAATATACCAGCGTAACTTGTCTATCTCTTCTTCCAGCTCCACGATCTTCTCGTCAGTCCTCAGGGTGCGTGCGTTATATGTTGCCAGGTCGAGTCGTCTTAGGTGGCAACCGAACCTCCACCGGAGATTCTTAGCACCCCCTACCCCGCCGTTACCATGGTCGCCACCGTAGCCAGGAATAGCGGGGCCGCCGGGGACTGGGGGCCGTTTCTTTGTTATTCTCAACATAGGGGGTATTAGCCATAGTTGCCACGCTTGGCGAGCGGGTTAGCAACCGCAGTTTTTTTATTGTAAGTTTGTTGTTATCAGGAAGATGCTGCTGCCCATTTCCTGCCTGTTTCCCTTTGTCGCCTTTTACGACACCCACGGGATGATATGGGGTAGTGGATATTCTTAACCGCTACTACACGGCAAAATTCAGTACTAAATCTTAAATGTAATGACATAAAAATATATGTTCATTTTTAGGTTTCTGTATGTCAAAAAGAAAATTTGTTATTTGTCCATCCGTCTGTCCTTTTAAGACTTTTTTTTTCAGAAACAGGCACCGGGCATTATTGTAATAAAGTAAATATCAAGTACTAAGGTCTACCCCTTTGAGGGTTAAAAATTCAAGCTTGTACTTCCATGTGCTTGCAAACACACTTATTAAAACCGATACGGTATTTCCCCTTAACCTAGAATTATGAAATTTGGAAAGAAGCAAGTCTGACGACTCAAATAAAAGAAAAAATCCGAAAACTATTGTCACAAAAAAATACTAACACAGAATGTAGTGATAGTAATAATTACAAACTTACATTTGTAGTCAGAGCATCGACTGGCGTGTAAACTGATCTATATGACATTTTTTCCAATGCAAAGTTAGATTTGTCCTTCAATTGGATTAACCTTTTCATAAGAGCAATATACAGAATATTGCTTACCTTCCCTTAATATAAATCGCGCGATGTCACGTCACGAATTGAATTACACAATTGTTTATACGGAACCATCCTAGAGTTGGTCCAACTAGCAGCTGTCTGGTGTAAATACTAGATATCGATTTGCCGGATAGGTCAGATTTAACCGGAATTTAATATAAGTCCTAAAGACCGCTTAAAAACTTTGTTATAACGAGATTGTCATTTTATCATGCCTGCGAAGATTGGATACCTGGACAGCAGGGAGCAGTGTGGGTGATGAGTGCTTGTGGCGCAGTGCCAAGCGGTGCCGTGGCAGCCGGCATCTGCGACGGAGAAGTTATATGGGTTGCACGCACCACCCACAAGTATGTATTTCTAGTAGTTTCAATGTCATTTCTAAAAGCCCAACTATATCATTGAAAGTAAAGACTAGAAATGAGATGGGAGGTGACTCGAATTCTTACTCGACTTAGACTTACTCAGTTTGAATAGCCTATCATGTAGAGGATGTCATGGGGGTCATGGTTGAATTGGGGCAAAAAGTTCTCATTACACTTCTAGGGGGTCAAAATGGCCAAAACCAAAAAATTAAAAATTCTTATTTCGGCTATAACTCCGCCTCCTTACATAGTCTTTACTTCCCGCATCCCACTTGTTCTTCATAGTTGGAATTTGTTCTTAAAACTTTGTTTCTTGACTAACTACTACTACTTTCTGTAGTCTATATGTTCAATGCCGAATAAAGAAACTTATTTACAAAGAGACTGACAAAAGAATGTCCTGAGCCAACTGCATCTATTAATTAATTTCCTGTGTTTTAAACACGATGTGCGCAACTCTTGCTAATGGGACTATAGGTGTTTGGTTGTATGAGTCATATAGACCTAAAATTTTATTGGCTTACATACTACTATACACATGTTTTTTGTGTGAAAATGTGTTTTTTCAACAGATGTAAGATTTTGCCTGCTGCTTTGTATCCATCGAAGCATTGTTGCGTGCTGTACACTGGAGGTCGGATAAAACATTATACTAAATATCAGGTACAGTGTTAGAAATAAAATGTTATAAAATAACGTAATATTAAATCTCGTATATATTGAGCCTGTAGATTGATCGTCCTTTGTTTGTCCTTTACGTTATTTACTTAATACGTCTTGTATTATTTAACTCCAATTATTATAAGGTGGAATTTCGTTTGTCAATATTACCATTACAGTCTATCGAAAATTCATTTCTGAACATAGGCTTCTGCATCTCTAAGTTAGCAGGTTGACAACTTACTTTTACGTTATTACGAAGACGCTGCTGCCCATCTCGTGATTTGTTTCCCTCTGTCGCCCTTTACGACACCCACGGGATAATATTTGGTAGTAGATATTCTTATACTGCCACTGTGTGCACACCACATCATGTTTCTGATTTCGTTGTGTATTGGTGCTACTTTTGTTAAAACTTTATTTCACGAAAAGTGGATTGCGGAGGCCCATCTGGCCACGCTGAATGTATGTGGAGCAATGAATGATAAGATGGATGAAGTATGCGAAATGATGAATGATAGAGGAATAGATGTGTTATGTGTAAACGAGACGAAACGAAAGGGAAGAGATGTCACTGCACATGGCATGTATACCGCTTACTGGTCTGGAGTAGACGAGACCGAGCGGGCATGCCAAGGAGTCGGTGTCATCCTTTCAGAAAGAATGGGTCAATGTGTAAAAGAGTATGAATGTGTTAGCCCAAGGCTGCTGTGGATGCGAATGAAAGTGGGCTTAAAGAAGTTGTTTGTGCTAGGGGTGTACGCCCCAGATATGTCTAAGCCCACTTATATCCGAGAGCAGTTTTGGGACATGGTAAGGCTGGTGTTGATGAAATGTAAGGAAAATGAAAATATTATTATGTTAGGAGATTTTAATGGAAGGGTTGGGGTGAAGAGGTCTGGTTATGAAAGGATATTAGGAACGTTTGGCGATGAAAGAATAAATGAGAATGGTGAATACCTCCTCACCGTATGTGTGGAAAAGAATCTTTTTGTGGCGAACACTTTCTTTCGCCATAAGAGGATTCACATGTATACATGGGAAAGAGGGGATGATAGAAGCATGATAGATTTTATAATTGTGGATGAAAGAATGAGGAGCGCAGTGGTAGATACAAGGGTTTACCGGGGGTCCAACGTAGGGACGGATCATTACTTGGTCTTATGCCGAATTAATGGTCTATTCAGACGTTGGCGGCATCGGACATCGGTGTCTACCACTGCGTTACAGCGTATAAGAATAGAGAGGTTACAAGATGAAGGTGTGAAAGAGAAGTATAAATGCAGATTGAGGGAAAATATAAGTGGGTTGAATGAATTATGTATGAATGATTTAGAATTGAAGAATGTATGGAATAATATTAAGAAAGTTTTGGTGGATGCAGCCACCGAAGTATGCGGTGTAAGTAAGAGAACGAATGAAAGGAAAAGTAATACGTTGTGGTAGGATGATGAGGTACGGATGGAAGTTGAAGCAAAGAAGAGAGCATGGCTAGATTTACTAGCAACTAAAGCTGGTAATTCTGGCGGTATGAATGATGAGATTGAAAGAAAAAAGGCAGACTTTAGACGTATAAATAAGAGAGTAAAAGAAGTTGTTGAAAGGAAAAAGCAAGAAAGGATAGATAAGAATGATAGAAGGATATCTGATAACTTCCAGGCAAATATTAAAATGTTCTGGAAGCTCGCAAGAACTGCCAGGGGAAATTCAAAACAGCCTAGAATAAATGCTATACGAGACGAGAATGGCTGCATGCTGAATGATGAAGTTTCGAATTTAAAGAGATGGAAGGAATACTTTGAAAGCGTGTTTAAGAGTGAAGAGTCGTCTGGAATAAGTGAAATAGAAATTCCGGAAGAAGTGGAGAGAGGTAGGGAGATAAGTGTAGATGAAATAATGAAAGCAATGAAAAGCATGAAAGAAGGTAAGGCAGCCGGATATGATAGAGTATCACTCGAAATGCTGAGGGCTGGTGAGGGTGTGGTTACAGGCCTGCTGCACACCTTGTTTAATTTATGTTGGGAACTGAAACGGGTACCGGAAGACTGGTGCAAAGCCGTTGTAGTCCCAATATATAAGGGAAAGGGGTCGCAGCAGGACTGTAAAAACTACCGTGGTATCAGCTTGCTTAGCATTGTGGGTAAACTGTATGCTAAGGTGTTAATTGAAAGAGTTATGGAAGAAACTGATGGAAAAATTTGAGATGTGCAAGCTGGATTTAGAAAGGGGATGGGGTGTACGGATCAGGTGTTTTCCATGCGCATGATCGCGGAGAAGTTTTTGGACAAAAACCAAAAATTTTTTGTGCGTTCATAGACTTGGAAAAGGCTTATGACAGAGTGGACAGGAATGTGTTATGGCAAACACTGAACTCATTTGACTTCATTAAACGAGACCTCTCCAACTTAACGTTTAGGTTCAGTGTGCCTCTAACCATTCGGTGATCGCTACCAGTTTTCACCCTTGCGATCACGGAGACATCACCGAACAATTGTCGTCTGGTCGTCATAATGAAGTCAATCTCATTTTTTGTGGAACCGTCGGCGCTTGACCAGGTCCACTTCCTGTGGGGCCGCTTCAGGAACAAAGAGTTCATCATAAAGAGTCCCTCTTTCTCCATGAAGTCGGCCAGCTGCTGGCCTCTTGGGTTCCGTTGCCCTATTCCAAATTTCTCTACTTTCAGCTCACCGTTTTCTCTTGTGTCTAGTTTTGCATTGAAGTCTCCCATTAACACTGTATATTGGGTTTTGGAGGAATACATGGCTCTAGAGATATCCTCATACATTTCCTCCACATCCTCATCGGGGTGTGCCGAGGTTGTAGCGTAAACCTGTATGACCTTCAGCGAATACCGCTTGGTGATTCTGAGTATAAGGTACGCAACCCTCGTCGACACACTCTCAATCTTTACAACGTTGTTAACGAGAGACTTGTGGACGATAAATCCGATACCTCCTTGGGACAGATGGTCGCCCTCCCGATGATAGAGCAAGTTGCCGGATTCGAGGATTACCGTGTCCTCCTCCTCTCTTCGGACTTCGGATAATCCTATAAAATCCCAGCGTAACTTGTCTATCTCTTCTTCCAGCTCCACGGTCTTCTCGTGAGTCCTAAGGGTGCGTGCGTTGTATGTTACCAGGTCGAGTCGTCTTAGGTGGTAACCAAACCTCCACCGGAGATTCTTAGCACCCCCTGCCCCGCCGTTACCATGGTCGCCACCGTAGCCAGGAATAGCGGGGCCGCCGGGGACTGGGGGCCGTGTCTTTGTTACTCTCAACATAGGGGGGTATTTGCCATAGTTGCCACGCTTGGCGAGCGGGTTGGCAACCGAAGTTTCTTTATTGTAAGTTTATTGTTATCAGTAAGATGCTGCTGCCCATCTCCTGCCTGTTTCCCTTTGTCGCCTTTTACGACACCCACGGGAATATATGGGGTAGTGGATATTCTTAACCGCCACTACACGGAAAACACTACACGGGTTGTTTCTACCGCTACCGTTAAATACTATTAAAGTCCACTGTTGATCATAGGCCTCCCCCATAGATTGCCTTATATGGGGGATATTTTTTTATTGAATGGGTGTGTGTGCTCATAGACATCTACATTTATCCTCGATTAAGAATCAAAAGGCAGATGCGTTTTCACCCCTGAGGACTAAGACGGAATGCCTCGTTTCCAGTAAGAAGGGTCTTCGGTTCTCTACACTCACCATACGAAACACATTAGCATTAAGCATGTATTCTGTGAGAGCGTAGTCCTACCGCGGTCGCTTAATATTGCTGCAGCGTGGTTATACCACGTAAGAATTACAACAAAAGACACTACTCGGGCAGCTGTATGCATGATACTATCTATGCATACAGCTGCCCGAGCAAAAGCTAAAAGCATGATAAAATGACAAAAAATGATTCAAGCCACACTCGGGGCAAAAATAAGCCAAAATAGTGTTTACTGGCAATACTTTCGTGGATACATATACATATATACATAAACACTCACGCCTGTCACCCAGAGGGGTAGGCAGAGACTACGGACTTCCATTTGGCGCGATCCTGACACACCTCTTTCGCCTCTTTTACATCCATATATCTACGCATACACGCTCGTCGGTTAAGGGTACTCCTAATCTGGCCCATTTTTAATGTATCGCCGATTTGGTCGATAAACCTTCGTCTAGGGCGTCCCTTCCCGACCCTGCCGTTCACTTCCGCAACATAAATTTCCTTTGTCACTCTTTCCTCGTTCATTCTTTCTACATGACCAAACCACCGAAGCATTCCTTTCTTAATCCTTGTCACAACGTCATCTTGCAAACCACACTTTTCTCTTATCACACTATTTCTCACCCTGTCATTCAGATTCAGCCCTAGCATACTCCTTAAGGAACGCATTTCTACAGCACTTATTCTACTCTCATGCTTCTTCTGCCAGACCCAACTTTCACTACCATACATTAAAGTAGGGACTAACACAGCATTATGAATTGCCATACGTGCCTTAGTTGACACATTCTGACTCCTCATAATAGCGTGTAGAGCCCCATTCACTCTATTTCCTGCGTTCACTCGTCGTTCTATATCCTTATCATATCTACCATCCCTGCTAAATAAACATCCCAAATATACAAACTCATCCACTTGCTCAATCAACTCCCCTTCTATTCTTATTTCACATAAAGTTTTACTTTCTTCTCTTTCAAAAACCATCACTTTCGCCTTACTTGCGTTCACTTTCATACCCCTTTCTTTCAATGACCAATTCATTAAAGTAACCATCATTTGCAACTCGGCCGCCGACGATGCAAATATGACTTGATCATCGGCGTACAAAAGGCATTTGACGGTTGACTCACCCATTCTCAACCCACATTCTTCAACTTTCAAAGTTTGCAAACAACTGTCCATAAATAAGTTAAACAGCCACGGGGAAGCCACACATCCCTGTCTGACACCTTTATGAATGCCAAACCAGTCCGAGTAGACCCCATTGATCCTGACACAAGCACTAAAGTCCCTATAAAGAGATCTCAATGCCTGTATCAAGCCAGCGCTCAACCCAAATGAGTTCAGTGTTTGCCATAACACATTCCTGTCCACTCTGTCATAAGCCTTTTCCAAGTCTATGAACGCACAAAAAACTTTTTGGTTTTTGGCCAAAAACTTCTCCGCGATCATGCGCATGGACAAGGTCGCTCCGTACCCCTCGTGCTCTGTTCCAAAGTCCCGAAACCTTTGAACTCGAGTTACAAAACCGTTTTCAGTGCCTAGAAGACTGCAATGAAGTGGACGATATGGATGACAAGCTCGTTGAAACTGTCCATGCGTTCGGAGCTAAGTTCTGCAAGACCCGCCGCAAAAGAACACAAAAACTCTCCGATCACACTCTCAATCTCATGGCTGTTAGACGGGAGATGAAGCTACATTCTTCAACAGATTTGACAGCATGCATTCGGCGGGACTTACGCAACTTCAATACAGCTTGTACTGAAGAAGCGATTAAGCGGAACCAAGGCTCCAAAGTCTTTGCCAGAGATCTGTCTGCCAGAAAGAGCCAACTGTCAAAGCTGAAGACCGAGTGTGGCAGCATCGTTTCCGGGGCACCTGAGATTTTGAGTGAGATTGAGAGGTTCTATGGGCAGCTGTACACGTCATCGTTGGAGCCACACGCAAGTGTGAGTAACGATCCAAGAGCTAGTCTTATCCGACACTATTTCGAAGATATCCCGGACGTCACTCTGAGCGAGATTAGTATGGCTCTCCAGCACCTTAAAAACAGCAGGCAAGGCGCGGATGGAATTACAGCGGAGCTTCTGAAAGCGGGTGGAAGACCGGTACTTGAAGTCCTTCAGAAGCTCTTTAATTCCGTCCTCCATGGTGGCATTACACCGGAGGCGTGGAGCAGAAGTGCGGTGGTCTTGTTCTTCAAGAAAGGTGACAACGATCTCTTGAATAACTACAGACATATTTCCCTTCTGAGCCGCGTCTACGTGCTGTTTTCGAAACTCATTACGAATCGTCTCGCGCGCAGACTTGACGACTTCCAGCCTCCCGAACAAGCCGGTTTCCGAAAGGGCTTTAGCACCATAGACCAAATACATACCCTTCGGCAAAATGTACAGAAGTCCGAGAGTACAATTTGCCACTATGTCTGGTGTATGTGGACTATGAGAAAGCCTTTGATTCCGTCGAAATTTGGGCGGTGCTGCAGTCCCTTCAGCGGTGCCAAGTTGACTGTCGGTATATCGAAGTGCTGAAATGTTTGTACAGTAGAGCTACGATGGCTATCCGAGTACAGAACCAGAGTACGAAACCTATCCAATTGCAGAGAGGTGTAAGACAGGGTGATGTTATATCCCCGAAACTCTTCACCGCTGCATTGGAAGATGTTTTCAAGCTAGACTGGAAAGGATATGGTATTAACATCAATGGCGAGTACATCACTCACCTTCGATTTGCCGTCGATATAATCCTTATGGCAGAATCGCTGGAGGACCTAAGCACCATGCTCAACGACCTCAATAGTGTCTCCCAACGAATAGGTCTTAGGATGAACATGGACAAAACAAAGATCATGTTTAATGTCCATGTCACACCTATACCGGTAGTTGTTGGGAGCACTAAGCTCGAAGTTGTTGACGAGTATGTTAACCTAGGACAAATAGTCCGACTAGGTAAGTCCAACTTCGACCGAGAGGTCAATCGACGGATTCAACTCGGCTGGGCAGCGTTCGGGAAACTACGACACATCTCGTCAGACATACCTCAAAACCTTAAAACGAAATTGTACAACCAGTGCGTGTTGCCAGTGATGACTTACGGATCTGAGACGTGGTCCTTCACTGCTGGCCGTATGAGGAAGCTCAAGGTCGCTCAGCGAGTTATGGAGAGGGCTATGCTCGGGGTTTCTCTGCGTGATAAACTTAGAAATGAGTATATCCGCAGTAGAACCAGAGTAACCGACATAGCCTAACGGATTAGTAAGCTGAAGTAGCAGTGGGCCGGCCATATAGCTCGAAGAACCGACAACCGATGGGGATGAAAGGTTCTTCAGTGGCAGCCTCGTACCGGTAGGGGAAGTGTAGGGCGACCCCCCACGAGATGGAGTGACGACCTGGTAAGACATACAGGAAGTCGATGGATGCAGGTGGCTCAGGACCGTGCTTTGTGGCATTCCTTGGGGGAGGCCTATGTTCAGCAGTGGACTTAAGAAAGGCTGTAATGATGATGATGATGATGATAGTAGAAACAAATCGAAACGTCAATATCTCAATATTAGCTTTTTGTGTTAGATCGGCTAGCTATAGTTACCGTTACAGCCTATTTAAAGTCCATTACTGAACAGATGCCTTCCTCATGGATTTACTCATAAGAGTGATATTTATAGTTGCTACGCTTGGCAGGCAGGTTGGCAACCGCAGTTCTATATTTTTTTAGTTCCGGTTTGTTTCTGTCGCCTCTTACGATATCCACAGGACGATATGGGGTAGTGGATATACTTAAGCCTCGCGTACACCTAATCCGTCATCGGCCGAAGTTTGCTCGGGCGACGACGGCCGAACTCGGACGATCGAATCATACACTTGTAAAAGAAAGAGAGCGCGTACACAAACACGACCGTTATCGTCCGATGACGCCCGAAATCGGCCGATCAACCGTCGAGTCTGAACTTGTTGGGATTTCTCGCCCGACTGCCGGCGTCTACAGTGCAAGTTGAATGTATTTATACCTAGTTTAATGTAATAATTCTGTATTTATTCTGTTGTTTCGTGTTTTTATCTACCTAAACGACTATGAATATAGAAAAATTAATTAGTTGTATTTATAATAGACCAACCCTGTGGGATGAACATTCAAGAAACTACAATAATCGAGATGTTTCGAAACAGTTATGGGCTGAAGTTGCATCGGATATGGATATAGCGGTTCCAGATATTTAAAAAAATGCGTCTTTACTCTGTTAAGCAATACAATCAACTAGTCAACTACAGAATACCGGCAACGTCCAATGTCGGCACACGTTGTCGGCACACGTTCACTGTTGCAGTGAAAGCACATACACCTCCGAGTAACTCGTCCGGGCAGTTCTGTTCGCCATCACTAACCCCCCTAAAAGTGTATTATTGGAGTAAAAACTTCTTAAGAATCGTTGTGATTTGAAACTCTATGAAACGAAAAAGTGACACTAAAAAGAGATAAACAGGCTAAATCCTATAGATATGCGAGAGAATGAGATAGAATACAGTGTTTCCTATTATCTCGATTTACTTTTCTGAAGGTTTCACTTCTACCGCGTGTGAACTACACATGTTTTAACTTCCCGCTATAAAAATCAATGTTTTTCAAAAAATCGGGAAGCTATTGATTTCACCCCGGTTTCCGAAAATTGAGTTCTCATCAGATCTTCCCGTTTTGAGGTCCTAGGAAGCTATTCTGACCATTCCTACGAGGATGTCCCTTCGTTTGTATGCATGTGTGTTCGTGTATATGTGTGTGTGCGGATATGTGTACGTATGTATGTAAACTCTTTATAAGTTTTGAACGACACCTCCGATCAAAATCGATCGCGGTTCACAGCATTCGAAAGAGTTCTATTGCCATTAGATTTCATGTGAATTTGAATCAATTCGGCTCAGTAGATTTTGAGAAATCTCGAAAATTAAAATTTAAAAAAAAAATTTTTTTGAGATAACTAAATAATAATGTATCGATCAATTCTAAAATCAAATCAGCTCTCAACCTCAAAAAACAACATAAATTGCCGCAAACCGCATCAAAATCAGTTCATTTGGTCAAGAGAAATCTTTAGATCAGAAAGATTTTTCTTGAATTTCTCTTAAAAATTTTAGCTCTTCGAGCCCAAAACATCATAGGTGAACTTTGAAGCGCTTTGCATTTGAAATTAGCGGGAAGTTGCAGGGATGGCCTGTAGGATTAACCGTATCTTTGAAGTTATATTTCTTTTGGCGCGTTTGAGAAATATGATGAGAGTGAATTTATTACGATGCGCGCGCACACCGACACCTAAAAACGACAGCATGAATTTGTTACGATGCACGCGCACACCGAAACCTAAAAGCGACAAGTTTTCGTGAAAACAGATAACTATAATATTCAAGGTAGAGTTATTCAAATATCTATAATCTATAATGTGTTTTATTTTAATTATTTTTTTTATTCTGTAAACTGTTACAGGTGTTGTGCAACGCACGGGTGCAGTGGGTGGCGTTCCGTGCGGGCACGGTGCCGGCGCGGGCGGTGCGCGTGGGCGACGTGTGCGTGGGCCGCGTGCGCCTGCGCGCCTCGCACCTGCTGGGGCCCGTGCGCCCGCCGCGCCACCGCTGCCACGTCGCCATGTTCGGACGACCCTTCGCCTTCGACTGCTACGAACTGCTTGTCATGGACGACGACGAAACGTGACGCAGCAAGATAAATATATCTTTTTCTGTACAAATTGTAGTGTTTTGAAATTTGTGGTCGTTGCTGAGATTTTACAATGTTATAAATTGTAACAAAGTGTTGAGAATGTTGATCACTCCTGATTATTGTTTGATGTTTCGATGTAAAAAGTTCATTATTGTTTCTACGCGCTAAAATCAAACGTCCGTACGAACTATTGCTGCTATTGAATTGTAATTGTAAGCTACAGTTTGTAAGTTTTTATTTTTCTTATTTTTGTTCATATTTTGATAAAATTTATCTACAATACAATATTATTTATTATTATGTGCTGAGTTTTCTTTCTGCATTTACATAATGAGTCATAATGTGGAAGAATCTAAAAGACTACACAAAACTTTACAAACAAATAACGAAGTCAGATGATTACACTGAGTTTCCAATAAGATCTGGATCGGTTATATCAATATTGTACTGATAAGAAAGCTAAGCTTGTCTTAATGTGAAATAAATATGTAATTTAAGCAGAAAATTAAAAGATTTTACTATAATTTCTGTCATACTGTACTCGTATTAGAAAGAGTTTTGACTCCAAACTAATTAATCACCACAATCTGTAACAGTGTATTTTTTAAGTGCTTTCATTCGAAATTGTCATATAAGGTATGACTAGTCTCATCAAATTTTCGTTGCCTGCAAGCGACAAATGCTCCTGGACGGTTTTCATTTTTTTACCCTTTTGAGCGGACTAAGAAATATCACAGCCTATATATTAAGAACTAGAATATCGTCTAAATAATTACATTAACAATTTTATCCGCAATTTTTTACCCTTAGGGATAAAATCATTTCATCAAACCTACAGCAAATTGTAAAATCTTTTCACAATTGGCGTACATACAAAAAAATACTGTCGACTTGAGAACCTCCTTTTTTTAAGTCGGCTAAAAAAGGCATGCGTTTCTACGCCTTTTTGCCCCTGACTCATCTAGTTATTTTTAAAACATTCGTTTGATATTCCAGACCTGATTAATTTTAATTGAAGATTTTAACTGCATGTTATATTGACGTAAGTTATAACTGTTATAGTAAATTTACGTTATTGAATAAAACAAAAGATCAAGTAAGTATATTTATTAAAACCATCACCAGTCTTATGCTGTAAAAATTTACGATTGTTCCTTGGCATTATCGTCCTGTTCAACGTGAACTCTTTCCACGACTCCCGCCGTACCCGACAGCCGCAATAAGTCACCAGTTACGAAAACGTCTGTAGCATTCGTTGCGCCAACTATACACGGCAAGCCGTATTCACGAGCTATTACAGCACCTAAAACGCATTATATTATTTATAAGTATACAATTTAATACATATAAATGAGATAGTTCATGGAAATCCGCAGTGTATAGTGTTAACGATAACTGAACAACTATTATGTCGCTCATAGCGTTAAGATGTGAAACTTAACTGCCCAAATTAATAGCCACATAATACTCAGGAACTTGATGTTTAACAAAAAGTTTTACACAGCCTAAAATAATTTGAACACACGTTCCCTTTAATCGGCTATATCTTTATGCCATTAAACTTGACGTTAATTTATGGGTTGCAGGTTAAATAAGCAATAGAAATAAATATTCCATAAAATTCTTATAATTCTATGAAATATTCCTTAATTGGCTACACTTTAATAATCTATTTTCTATCTATTCTTTTTTCAATTCCCCCCGCAATTTCATATTCACTTTATTAGTGTTATGCCTATCTTTCCTTGTCATTGTTCTAATTTTATATGAAAAACGGAAAACCAACCAAATTTTCTGTAGCCCTTTAACGATGATTGCAACTAAACAATTGATTTATTCTAAGCTTATATCGAATGTACCTATAAAATGTATGTGTTATATACCTATATGTTGTTTTACCAAAGCATTTTTCTAATATTCATAAAGAAAAATGTATTAAACAGCAGTATAAATATGATAGGCTATAATGGGACTGATATTGATAAATCAATTCTTACCATGAGAGATAAGGCCGCCAAGCTCGGTGACAATGCCGCTCAGTAGCGGGAAGTATGGTGACCAACCAATATCAGTCGAATGCGTTATTAGTATATCTCCTCGCTGCAGTTGGTTGATCTATCCAATAAACGAGATTAAAAAATTAAATTATGTTGAGTTTTTTCATTAGCATATTTAAATTCTAAATCTTGTCAGTAATTATGATTGCATCGGATGCTAGTTCAACAAGCATACACACAAACTAAAGCACTCACTCGTATAAACCTGTCCCTGTCAGATATATAGCACTTAAATTATAAGATCTGAAAAAGAAAAAAAGAAAAATATGGTTGCGAATTTTTGTACCTCTGAAAGATCCTTTATAACGCACGCTCTTGCAACGACCTCTCCTCCACACACAGACGTCGCTTCAATTCGGACGTCACCAGAAGTGACTTGAAGCCCTTGAACATTAAGCGGCTCAAACCATCCGGTATTAATTTCAGCGAATTTCAGTTTACACCACCCGGGGTAAAACTGTTGTCGTTGTATTGCTCTGTCGAAAATTATTCAATAAAGAAGTTGTCATAAACGGTAGAAAATAATATTTTTATAACATGAGAGCTGTAGTTTGTAGTTCATGAGAGAGTCGTGACAAATGTCTCATGATCCCAGTCAGCAGCCTACTTTTGAACCAGAAGCAGAATCCCTTAAGTGATTGCTGGCAAAGAGTTTTACTTCCCGTCGCAGCATGCAAACTAGTCAATAGTGCAATGTAGTCACTGTAGATTTAAGTTCTAAAGCGTCACATTTTTCGGTCTTTTTGCCTACGCATGCGTCCCGTACATGGCTACGGAACGTACTATTCATGCATAAAGACGACTTCTGCGTTACTTCTACTTTAACTTTTTAAATAAGTAACAACATGCTAGTAAAAAGTTGGGAAACTCATCGAATTGCTACTGACAGTACTAAAAATCAAATTTCCACGGCGCTTAATCAATACAAAGGCGCCCACGTCAAGTAACACTAAGTAACATTATACAAATGCGGTCTGGACTTGTGAAGATGTATGATGTACAAAAGTATTCAGGCTGCAAATGCAGCGTTGCCAACTCTACGGTTGTTTTTCATCGTCTACTGAACTATAGAATTTGAGTTAAAATCCACGAAATTTGATTTCCATGTTAATTTTTTTTTGTACTTCATAGTCCTTTGATAATAATTAGATTTTTAAAAATTTAACAAAAACATTTTTTATCATAAGTGTGAACTTAGCCGACAACCGACAATCGAAAATTTTAACAATCGATATCTCAGCGGGAAAATTGAATTTGACAGATAAGAAAGGCAGATATTATTCTTTTTTGAAATAAAGGTGCATTAATTAGAATTGAATTTGAATTAATTTGAATTAATTAGAATAGTGCCGTGTAGTGGCGGTTAAGAATATCCACTACCCCATATCGTCCCGTGGGTGTCGTAAAAGGCGACAAAGGGAAACAGGCAGGAGATGGGCAGCAGCATCTTCCTGATAATAGCCAAAATAACAATAAAAAAACTGCGGTTGCCAACCCGCTCGCCAAGCGTGGCAACTATGGCAATATACCCCCCATGAGGCATTCTTTGGGGGAGGCCTATGTTCAGCAGTGGACTTGTGAAGGGCTGTAATGATGAATTAGAATTTTGGATGATAATTTTTTTTTCACGATGAAATTAGTATAACTATCCATAAATATTTAAGTGTTAATTATTTTATTATTTTTACTAAAAATAAATAAATTAAAAGAAAACAATTAATATGTGCAGCTTGATTCTATGTTATACTACAATTGAACTTACAACAAGAATTTTACATGACAGAAACAATTTCTGCAAAAAAATTTGATCTATCTGTTTTTGTATTTGTCAAATCTATTGATAAATTTTCGATCCTCTTAAGAAGTCTGCAGATCTACGGATATTTTGAAATAGCATCTATGGGATTCTACGTAAATTTTTATACCAATCTACGAATTTAGAAAAATCGAGTTGGTAACACAGTGCCAATGTATAATTTGCAGCTTATAAATAGTTGTTGCGTCCGATGAGCGTCAACTGAGTGAAAAAATCTTCATATTCGGAGACCTAAGGCTCATATTAAACTACTTATAAAAATATACAATTGTAAGCCTTGCAGACACAATCAAAATTTAGAATAAAACCTGATTTTGTAGAATGAGAACTAATTTCAGTTTTAAATGAATATTACAGAACATAAACAGAAGTTAAGACTGACGAAAAATGTATTAGCAAATTTTTCATACTCTAATTGTAATGCATTAACGATGAGGAACTAAAGTGATACTTAATCTTTTACGTTTCTTATCAGTGCTATATAAATATCGCTATGTAAAAATTATTACTTTCTTAAGATTGCCGGATTCCTTCTTTCAATGTAATCTTGAAGTTCGTTTAGTCTAAAGAAGAATATAAGATCGGGATCTGGCAGGTACCATTGACGCACCAGCAGCCGCGCCAAGCGACGGACCGCTAGTCTTAGCTTGTGTACGGCGAGGATGAGATGGGCTTTAGTACCTTCTCGATGACGCACAGATCCGTGACACAGAGGAAGTATCCAACGCAGAGCTCTTCTGTAATATAAATAATTTAAAAATAAAAATTTTGTACAACCGACTTCAATATAAATTATTAAGAATAACTCAAAAACTATTGGTCAAATTTATGTGGGACCACATGAGAAGCATCAGCTTTCAAATAAAAAAGGAATCAGTTCACCCAGAAAAAACTTATGAGGTAACATACATAATTTTTTTAAAACACAGTCGAATTGAGTACCTCATCTTTTTTGAAGTGGTTAGAAAATTGCCAAATACTTGATGAGACGGGCGTAAATATTTTATGTTAGATAAGTTGCGCTATGTAGATTGTCTCTAATATTATCTAAACATTAAATGCTACAAGAAACCTATGTCATATACGTCTCTACTATATTTTATCTAATTCACTTCAAAATTCTAGAAGTTACGACACGATCAAGTACTGCTGGATTATCTTATTCAACTACCATACAGCCAAGATCTTCATTTTGGATTACATTTATTGAAACATCGTTCTTTAAATTAAATCACATTATAGATGTTATTTTTTATGAAAAGCTAGCGACCTTCCCCAACTTCGCCTGGATAGGATCTACTGTGGCATTATTAAGATCATTTATTTTATCAATTATTTTCTTAAAAGAAATTTTGCCAGACAAAATGTAGCCTAGATCCTCCCGGCACTGCTCTCTATCTGTTCGTAAAATTTCATTACAATCGGTTCAGCCATTCCGAAGACTAACTTGGACAGGCAGACGGACAAAAGTTTTAAAAATGGTAATTTTTGTTTTATACCATGCAAATAGCCTAATAAAAATAGCTTAATAGAAACCAGTTATTTCAATATTACCGACAGACACTCTAATTTTATTTATATGTATAGATTAAACAAAAAATTATACTAAAATTATATAAAAATTTATAATATGTACAATATTTATTTTAATAATAAAAAACAAATTTAAAACTACCATATGATCCTACTCCCCACGGTATAGAACCAGAACACCGGATGCGTTTCCTCGTTAAATACATAATATATTTAGCCTTTGAGCAAGACAAGAAAAGAATCAGCTCTTTTGTTACTACCGGCGACTACAAGTCGCGGATACAGTTCTTATAAGAACTTCACTGCCCATGAACCTCGCGGACCAGTAGTCTCTACAGCAAATGGCACAAATATGGAGTCATCTTTTGGGGTACTCGACTGCAGTAATCATTTTATTATTCTCATTAAGTACTTTAGGCTATATTATACTATCACAAAGAACATGATGTACATACAATAACACTGGATGGAAATTTTAGAAATCTGGGTTTATGTTAATCATTATGTATAATTACCTTGTACTAGATTTCTGAGGTGTCTTCAGAGAGGCTACGATTTCAGCGTTGCTTTTAGATGTATGAGTATTCTCTTTTGCTGTTCGCATCGATTGAAGTACTTTAATAAACTCTTCTGGCACCAATACCCACGGCTTCGTTGCTAAATCAAACTGTAATAAGATACTTTAAATTACTTTATTTGAATTAATATCGGCTGTGTAAGGATAAGTAAGGGCATGTATATTAATTTATTTATTTACTTATTTATTCACTCATTCATCATCATCACATTATTCTGGCCAATCACAGGTTCACTGCACTTTGCTTACCGGGACGAAGCTACTACTCGAGAACCTTACTTTGCCATAAGAGTCTGTTCTTCGAGCTATATGGCCGGCCTTGCTTCGATACTTTGTTTATTCTTGTTACTTACTATATATCAATAAAAAGGAATCGGCATTGAGAATCGTTATACCAACTTTTTGTTGGCAATAATTTTTTGACAGGTTAAATAAAACTCCTTTTCTCTTTATCTTTATTATAACGCCTTTAAACCGCGTAAGAATTTGTAAAAAATATTTCATTTCAGCCATGTCTCATATACCCACCTCCATTATAGCTCTGTAGCCATGCTGCTCTAAAAATTTACAAACGTCATTATGCACTTGAGGAAGATTAACTTGTAACCAATTCATTGCAGTCTTGGGTTCTTGAAGGCGGAACTCATCGACCTTTCCTGAATCTTCCAATTTTTTGGTTAACTCTGCTAACGCTAACGGCACTTCAGCTGAGAGGACATCGCCAGAACTAAGTAGTGTGCTAATCTCGTTGCACTGCTCAGGTGTAAAATCTGAAACAAATATGTAGGAACTTTAGTCGGAGCGTTGTGAACTTGTAGTAAACTCCTGCTTGTATTGAATGTGCCCCGTGTAGTGGCGGATAAGACTACCCACTACCCCATATCTTCCCGTGGGTGTTGTAAAAGACGACAGAGGGAAACTGAGGCAGAAGATGGGCAGCATCATCTTTCTGATAACAGCAAAACAACAATAAAAAAAACTGCGGTTGCTAACCGCGTGGTAACTATGATAATATAACCCCATGAATAAAGTTACGAAGAGACGGCCGCCAGTCACCGGCGGTTCCGTTATTCCTGGCTAATGCTGGCGACCATGATAAAGGCGGGGCAGGGGGTGGTATAAATCTCCGGTGGAGGTTCGGTGGCCACCTAAAGCAACTTGACCTGGCAACATAGGGCCCTGAGGACTGACGGGAAGATCCGGGAGCTGGAAGTTGCGCTGAAGTATTATAGGATTATCCGAGGTCTGAAGAGAGGGAGAGGACATGGTAATCCTCGAATCCGGCAACCATCTGTCCCAAGGAAGCGTCGGATTTATTGTCCACAAGTCTCTCGTTAACAACGTAGTAAAGATTGAGAGTGTGTCGACGAGAGTTGCGTACCTTATACTCAGAATCTTCATACGGTATTCGCTGAAGGTCATCCAGATTTACGCACCAACCTCGGCACTAACCGATGAAGAGGTGGAGGAAATGTATGAGGATATATCTAGAGCCATGCATTCCTTCAAAACTCACTATACGGTGTTAATGGGAGACTTCGGCGCAAAACTAGGCACAAGTGAGAACGGTGAGCTGAAGGTAGGGAAATTTGGAATGGGGCAAAGGAACCCAAGGGGCTAGCAGCTGGCCGACTTCATGGAGAAAGAGGGACTCTTTATTATGAACTCCTTCTTCAAGAAGCAGCTCCACAGAAAGTGGACCTGGTCGAGCCCCTGCGGTTCGGCAAAAAATGGGATTGATCTTATTACGACGACCAGACAACAACTGTTCAGTGATGTCTCAGTGATCGCGAGAGTGAAAACTGGCAGCGATCACAGAATGGTGAGAGGCACACTGAACCTAAACGTTAAGTTGGAGAGGTCTCGTCCAATGAAGTTAATGCTCCGTCTCCCACGTGCTCTAATCCAGAGTCACGAAACTATGAATGAAGATATGAATAACAAGCTCGTGGAAACTGTGCATGCGGTCGGAACTACGTTCTTCAAGACTCGCTCCAGAATAACACAAAAACTCTCCGATCACACTCTTAATCTCATGGCTGTTAGACGGGAAATGAAGCTGCAGTCTTCAGCAGATTTTTCGAAGCTAAAGACCGAGTGTGGCAGCGTCGTTTCCGGGACACCTGAGATTTTGAGTGAGATTGAGAGGTTCTATAGACAACTATACACATTATCGTTGGAGCCACACGCAAGCGATCCAAGAGCAAGTCTTATCCGACACTATTCCGATGATATTCCGGACGTCAGTCAGAGCGTCAGAGCGAGATTAGACGGCTCTCCAGCACCTTAAAAACATCCAAGATCAAGTCTTATCCGACACTATTCCGATGATATTCCGGACGTCAGTCAGAGCGTCAGAGCGAGATTAGACGCCTTTCCAGCACTTTAAAAACGGCAAGGCCCCAGGCGAGGATGGAATTACAGTGGAACTTCTGAAAGCGGGTGAGAAACCGGTACTTGAAATTTTTAGAAGCTCTTTAATTCCATCCTCCATGGTGGCACTACACCGGAGGCGTGGAACAAAAGTGCGGTGGTCTTGTTCTTCAAGAAAGGTGACAACGCTCGTCAACGGAGTCATTACGAATTGTCTCGTACGCAGACTCGACGACTTTTAACCTCCCGAACAAGCCATAGACCATATAAAATCTACGAGTACATTTCTTTCATAGACACAGGACACATTCAATACATCATCATTATCATCATTACAGCCCTTCACAAGTCCACTGCTGAACATAGGCCTCCCCCAAGGAATGCTACAAAGCACACAAAATTTCATCAAAATCGGTCCAGTCGTTTAGGAGTTCAGTTACATACACACGGACAGAAGAATTCTATATATAAAGATAATGCCACAAAAATATTATGGCGCCCGTTTGATGGCGGTATAACTCCAGGCGTAAAAAACCCAGACCGGCGTTAAAAGAGCGAAACGTCTGGTACTGCGATCTCAATCCGATGCGAGCGTGACGATGAAAGGAAATTCGCCCTATATTGAAATGACATATTGAAAATAATATGGACTAAATAATGATAACAAATTAAGGTTTTAGGTACGGTTTGCTATCGCAGAATCTATTTCTCCTTCTGATGCCTAATTTAGAGGCGAAACACTACGTGTTAAACAAACGTGTCGTACTATAAAGGATAACGTATGTTTCCCAATTTAGGGGTTAGTGGTTTCGGGTACTTTATTACAGTGCTGGTGTTACAACTAGGTAATAATAGCGCACGCTTTTAAGCGAGAAAAAGTGGTGCTTGAACAACGTTCTTGGAGAAATTGACACTAACTAAAACGTTGGAACGCAAAACTAAAATATAACATGTGGATTAGCCTTAATGTAACAAGGACTTAGACACACAACTGACTCAGTGCCTTTGCCTTTGACGTTCTGCTGCCGTCGCTCCCAGAGAGCAGTCAGCAGACTCCGCGCCGTAATCTTAAGTTCTGTTTATGTATCGGATTATCATTGTAAAAAGACAAGTTTGTAGCGACTAACGTTACACCGGACTAGAAAGTCAACAATTTTAACCTGTCTACACTGCAGTATATAGGATCAGATAAAGATTTAAACTTGTTATTATTCCTCTCCTTAATATTTGAAAATTAAGAAAGTTTATAAAATAAGGTCACATTTACCTGCTTTCCCTTCTAAAAGTACACTCATCGCTATAAACTGTGTCACCGAACTTGCGGAGCTTGTATTGCTGTGGTTATAAGAAAATGATTGCATTTCGCTCTTCCTTTCAGATATTGATTTCAATAACTCCAGGGGGTTACTTGTGTCCATGTCTAATTTCATTTTTGTAACGCGTTCAATTGTATCATTCATTACTGACTTTGTTGTTAACACCGTCTGTGAGAGAAAAAATGGTTTCGTAAAATACAAAATAAGGTATTTGACACTCTAGTTAATGAAATTACTTTTTACAAGCGGTCAAAACAAACATTTCTATGGAAATGGTATGAGAATAATATATTGTTATGAAGTCAAACTTTTTATAGTCAATATAATTTTTAAATGATAAAAATCCAATTAAACTTATACAAGAAAAACAACTCAGTTTTAAAGATATGTAAACATATCTTTAAAATCGTGTAGTAAATCGAATTTAAACTATCTAGTAATTTTAAAGATGTTGTCAACTACCTAATTGAGAATTAATAGGAGGCTATTGAATAGAATAGAATAGAATAATTTTTTATTCAATATAGATCACATGTGTAATTCTTATTGAAAGTCATTTTTTACTTTACCACTGGTTCGAAAAAAAAACCTCTGTCCTAGGAAGAAACAGCAAGAAACCCAGCGGGACTTTTTTTTAAAGCAAATTTTACATTAATGGTTGTACAAACTATATAAGTACAAAATTTATTTTAGAAACAGCTTGGAAGCGATCACCTCATTCCCAGGGGTTATTATCAACCATCTATTAATTTATACTATAATAACCCTTTTTATAAAGTTTCAACTTAACAAAACATTTAAACTTGCTAATAGAGAGCGCCTGTACACTTTCCGGGACCTTGTTGTAATAGCGTATACATTGCCCCAAGAATGAATTACTGACTCTGTGGAGTCGAGAAACTGGTATCACTAGCTTGTGTTTGTTCCTAGTGTTTACAGAATGTATATCACTTTTTTTACTAAAACTACCTTTGTTTTTGTGAACATACATTAAATTTTCGTAAATATACTGAAAGGCCAATGTTAATATATTTATTTCTTTAAATTTATCTCTAAGAGACTATTTATGTATGAGGTATATTTTAATGAAGACAACATAGCCGCTTGATGGCGGTGTGAGAGGATCTATTCAAAATTGAAGCGACAAACGAACTTTCCTATTCCATAATATCAGGTGGACTATCTGATGTTATGTGGCCACAACAGCCTATATCTGCAACCAAATTTTAACAGAGAATGCTTAGCTGCAAATGCGTTGTCACGTCTGAGGACTACGATGGATTTTTTTATAGAATAAGAGTGACAAACGAGCGCACAGTCCACCTGATTGTAAGCGCATGCTGTGCCTAATAGATATCTGCATTTATCCTCGATTAAGACCTAAAATGCAGATGTGTTGTCACCCCTGAGGACTAAGATGGAATGCCTCGTTTCCAGTAAGAAGGGTCTCCGGTTCTCTACACTCACCATACGAAATACAGCCGCCTTACGCTGCTATTTTACGCTGGTATACTGTGAGAGCGTGGTTCTACTCCGTTCGAGCCGATCCATTCGTGCTACAACTAATTAAGCTGCAGCGTGGCTCTACCACGTACAATGAATGCTTTACAGGCACAGCAGTGCAAGCACTAATATTTGGCGGCAGAAATAGGTAAGAGGATGGATCTACCCCGGTAAACTCCTAAACCGAAATGGAATCCAACCATGGGCCTGGAGGTGGAAACTAATAGTATACAGAATATAACATTAACATGTTGTCAAAACGGTTCCACTTAGCAATTGAGTCAATCTCCAGCGCCGATTTTCCATCCATCTATTACAGCCTATAAAAGTCAACTGCCGAACATAGGCCTCCCCACTATCACAAGATTTTAACCTCCAACGTCTTGACCGAGGAAAACCCCTAATCCATTATTTTTTTGAACAAATTAGATCCATTCTAGAAACTCCCGATTTGAATATTTTTGTGTTTCTATATTGTATTTATTATTTTATTTTTGAATATTGAAGTAAACGAACAATCGGATATTTTTAATTGAACAAAAAAAATTAGCTATATAGGACTTAAATGTTAATATTACCATAAACATTTTACACGTGTGGATTGCTCTTTCAATGAAATGCGTCCGCCTCCTGTGCAAAGCTGTATTTAAGATATTGTCATCCGCAACCTTGTGGCCGTGAAGAGACATTTCTAACATACGAATCCCAATGTCTATTTCGTTTGGGACCCTTCGATAAACAGACTGAAAGAAAAACAACATTTAAGCATTATTTAATGAAAAAATTGTGTGTAAACGATAACAAAACGCTTGGCTACAGATGCGGATGCAGATATATACATAATATATAAAACGTATATTTTGTTTTCTTTAGAATCTAAATTAAAATAGATTGCTTATAATCATCTATATATATATATAGTCGGAGCGTCTATAAAATACCCGGTTGGATCGAGGTAGAAGGGAGGGTATATCGACAAACCCCCTCTTGTGTCTGTAGTATAAAGTTCACTGTAGGTGCCGTGCGCGGGAGATTCCGCTCAAGTCATTCAACAAGTGTGGTCATTCTACTAGTGCTAAGACAGTGTCGTGGTTCTGTTCGTTGTTGTAATTCTTCTAGTGCAGGCAAAGAGGATTGGTGTTGCTGAGGGGCTGCCCTGTGTTACATTGAGATAAGTAGTGTTGCTGTTGTCTTACATATTTTGGTGTTATCTGGGGTGGACCTAAACTCACTCCGGACTTTTTACAATGTAAATATAAATTATTAATAACTCGATACACCATAGATGGCTGTCTATCGAGTCCAGATTTTGTGAATTTTTCGGAATTAAATCAACATGAATATTGTGCATATGAGTCATTTTGCTAAATACAGTCAGGTCTGGCAACTTTACTAATGGATGTTAACTTTGCCATCAGGGGTGTACTGGTACAAAATTACGATTAACACGGAAAACGTAATGTTTTTCGAGATAAGCCATGTTTTGGATGAAAATAAAATAACTAATTGACAGCATTGCTTTCGATATAGCAACTTGAGAGTTAATTTTGGCATTTTATTTTAACGCGGAATTGTTGCGGCGAAATAACTGCTTTGTTCAGTGCTCAAGAACTAATTTTTTTGTTTGTAATACTGAATGTAGGTATCTATATCTTTGTACTAACTTAATATTAATCGTTATCAAATGCAATAGATCGTTTTTAATACGTTGGTCTTAACATTATAAAACTAACTTGGCAAAGTTACCATACTAGTGATGTCATAATGTGACGGTTACTTTGCCATGTTTTGTTACAACCAAGGGTTGTCACTTTCAGCCTATATTTTAACCGATTACAACTATTTAAACTAACGGTAGTAGTGTAGTTGTACCACTTCTAGACCACCTGAGTCAGACATGGTTCAACGACGTTCGTCGACGCCCGATCCCAAAAAAAATAAAAAAATAAAAAAAAAGGTTTTGGCATGCTCTGATCACGAATCCGCGGTCCATTTTTGTGTAGAATGCACGGTTCCGGAGATGTGTAGATCAATTAGCTAATATCTAATTGATATCCGGTAAGGGCCTCCACCGTCATTAGCGTCCCATTGTTGTTCCTATTTCTATTGTTCTATTGTTCCTTAATCACCTTCATTGCAGCGTGTGCGTCGACTATATCAGTGCTATTGTTTATTATAATTCTTTGTTTATACAACGCTAATCTGAATCATCAATAAAACACATTACATAATTTTGTTACAATTTTTATTTATAAAATACAAAATCTTATTAATTATTATCTATAAAATAGGAGCGAAACATCTCATCCACTAAAATATCGTTGTACAATGTGTTCCTTGTAAATATACTCGTAAAACTATGTATTGAACATCCTTGAAACTTATATAGTAAATACATTAAGCAATATTCGCCACAAACTGAAGTCCACTCATTCTGAATCCTATCAACATTCCAGTTCCATCTTTTACAATTCCTTTTTAAAAACTCTAGATGATATCGTACAGGTGATCGTCCATATGAATCAAAATATTGACCGACGTCATTCGTATCGATATATAAAGCTACCCAATGTGACCCTGGTTTATCATCTGTATCCAAATTACATATTATATACGTTGGTACGTGGGTATACATAGGCAGTCTATTAGCTGCATAAACATTATTTTCTAGACTGGGGTGAATCTTTTTCAGATGTTGTTGTACATCTAGTGTATCCATGATATTACTGCTATTAGTAGATTATTACAGTACCTAACTACTCAATGAATAACATAGGAATGGTCAATTATAGTGATTTCTACATATTAAATTGCATTTTTGTGTTATACAAATCGTACTTGAGTCATTGATCACCAAACAAAACACAATACGAAGAAATGTTGAGATAGGCAACGGAAATGTGAGATAAACTGATATGTTTCTAAATATTAAATTGCATTTTTGTGTTATACAAATCGTACTTGAGTCATTGATCACCAAACAAAACACAATACGAAGAAATGTTGAGATAGGCAACGGAAATGTGAGATAAACTGGTTGACGCATAAAGTAATTATCAACTCATTACGGAAATACTTTAGATTAGAATTTTTACGTACTGGTGGTATATAAGACCAACAAACGCAGTCATCGAGTTAGTGTACGGTCGTTTGGCTACAGTGGATCTATCAATAGTACATTTTGTGTTACTTCAATACACCAAAGGCTATGGATGTAAGTGTTTATTCTATTGACTAAATTACTTTTTTTCTGTTATTTTCATGTGTGTGTATTATTTTATTTAAATATTGTGTATGTATATGATTAAGCCGTGGTAACTCAGATGGTTAGCGCTAGCTGTAAATTTCACAGTACGCGACCCGGGTTCGATCCCCGCCAGCACCAATTAAATTGTTAATAGCAATTTTAAGTGCTTATTACCACGTGCTTGGTGGTGAAGGAAAACATCGTGAGGAAACCTGCATGTCTGAGAAAATTTCGAAGGCATGTGAAGTTCGCCAACACACATTGAGGGAGCGCGGCGGACATTTCCTTGCTCTAAAACCCTCTCAGAAATGAGAGGAGGCCTATGTTCAGCAGTGGACTTTAATAGGCTGTAACTTTAACTTTTTTAACTTTTATGATTAAGTGTTAACAAATTGATATTAACATGATAACTGTGTTGTTGCAGAAATCATTGAGCTTCGATGAAGATACCTATAAACAGTATTACTACTCGCCACTCTCCCCTCAAGAAGAGAGTGATAACCTCGTCATTAATAATAACACATGCGATGGTGGAAAAAGAAAATCGCAATCGATTGATCATTTTTTTGAAGCTGAATCAAAAATAAAAAAGAGGAAGGGAAAACTTCAGTGAAGTGTGCACCAGTGCTTTTTTCTCCACAATCATGGAAGAGAATACGGAACTATTCAATAGCGAATTAAATCAGGAGTTGTCTAAAGTTTGTGAAGAAATGGAGAGGGGTCAACTGTTCGATTCGTCATACGATGATGAGTTGTATCATCACTGTGCGATGGTTGAAACACAGTTTAAGTATGTAAAATAAACATTCATTTCGATCATAATTTACATATTGTCTTATACAGTTTTTAATAAATTTAAACATTTTAGCAGTCAACCACTACAACTTGGAAGAGGAACGAAGCGAACGTGCAGCAAAGAATCCAAGATCATCAAAAAACCAACAACGGAAGCAGAAGCGCATACCTCTGCAGGGAACAGTATCAGTAACGATGATCAAGTGGAATGTCCAACGTGCCATATATTTATCAAGAAACGGTATTTAGCTAATCATTTTAAAAGTAATGTTCATAAAAATAATCTTTTAAATTCACATAATTCTTTATCAAACGTTAGTGTTATTGAATCTGCTTTTGGAAATAGGATTTTAACTTATAAAATCAAGAGTAGAGTAGATCGTTCGACATGGGTAAATTTTGAAACTCCTGAACTATTTTTAAATTCTATTAAAGATGATATTTTATTTTTATTACAAGAGTGTATTCATCAACACATAATTTTTAAGGTAAACTTCATATTGCATGCTGATTTTGTTCAACAAACTAAAGATATTCATGATACGTTCGATTTTCAAACGCTTAACTATATTATTTGTCAAGGAGATGACTTAAATATTTTTCTTTCATCTTTAAATGATACAATTACTACTAAAATTAGTGCTTTCGAAAAAAAAGATAGTGGATGGAGTCTAAAAAACATAAAATCTAAAGACATGAATGTTAATAAATTTAACCCCCTAAGCGGTACTTCATACATAGATCTTCCTCGTGACATAAAATTAAAAAAGGCTGTTATAAATGTAAAAAACAAGGATTATTTTTGTTTTAAATGGACGTTACTCTCGGCGTTATATCCTGTAAACAAACACACCGATCGAGTATCATCGTACGTTAAACATGCAAATAAACTTAAATTTGATGGTATTTCCTTTCCGGTTAAAATTTCTGACATAGCAAAAGTAGAGAAATTAAATGATATTAGTATTAATGTTTTTGGGTTAGAATATAATAAAGAAAAACGATGTAATTCTATAGTAGGTCCATTATTTTTAACAAAGTGTCGTAAAGATAGACATATCAATTTATTATTTTTTTCCAAGGATACAAAAAATCATTATTGCTATATAAAAAATTTATCGCGGTTAGTTAGTAAACAAATTTCAAAAGACGGTCACATCATGTACATTTGTGAAGCATGTCTACTTCGTTTTCCATCTCAGGAAAGGTTAAATAACCATGAACAATACGATTGTGCTCACATTTGTACAGTATTACCAAACAGTGAAACTTTAAAAAAAAAGAATTGGTTTGGTCAACCTATTTCAAATGATAAAATTAAATTTGATAGTTATGAAAAAAAGTTAAAGATACCATTCGTAGTTTATGCTGATTTTGAAGCATTTTTAAAACCAATAGAATCATGTTCTAACGATCCTTCCAAACCTTTCACTCATAATATTCAGAAACATGAAGTACATAGTTTTGGATATTATATAAAATGTTCATATGATGATAAATTATCAAAATATGTAACATATTGCGGACCCAACTGTGCACAAGTGTTTATGGAAAGTTTATCTAACAATCTAAAAGAAATAAATAGACTTCAAAAATATCCACCACTTCCGCTAACAAATGAAGACAAAAACCAAATTTCAAATGCAACCATTTGTCATATTTGTGAAACTGAGTTGGCAAAACATTTTTATGATTTTGATT